TCAGTCACCATTAGAGAGGGCTTCACATCTGCATATCTTTTCTAGGCTATTCCCATCAGAAAAAGGGGTTAGACACTGACAAGCAAAACTGATAATTTATTTTTATTTCCCTTCCCTGTAAGCCAACTGGCTCTGGGAATGACAGTCTCTCCTTTCTCACTTCTCCCATCTCACCTCCTTACCAAGATCGGACCCACGAATGTGATACCAGTTTCTGGGAATTTTCATTATTATATACTTGGGAATCCCCCTCCAGACTTGACACAGATGTTTGGGGACTTTGGAGTGCCTCCTCGGTCAACCCCTTTTCTGTTTTTGTGGTCCTTCCAATTGCTGCTGTGCACTGTAGTTCTGTGAAACCAAGTGTAGGCATGTTTAAATGGTGGTCACGGCTGTTTCCTTTGATGAGATTTTAGATCATTTTAGATTTTAGCCTGCCTCATCTTTGGGAGCAGATTACAATTAGATATCTAGTGGGTATTACCTTGAGCTGGCTGTCCTGCCTTTTTAATGGAGGATATTCACTCAGATATCTGGATATCTGAATGTGGCATCAGCTTTTGTTAATGTATTGGGCTGTTTCCTTTGGTAATCTGCAAGATACTTTCCAACTGATTGCCTTGACTGTGAGGGTAAAACCTTGTATCTATATATGGGAGTTAGAGTAGGGGAGACTGCCAACCCAACTGAAGCAGTGAAGCAAACAATTTCAGTCTTCTGTAAGTCTTCCTGTAAGTGCATGGGATTCCTAAAACTCTTAGATCACTACCCTGCATATATTATACTGTCTATGTATGCATACAAACATGTTCATGCTCACATGTAGGAAGGATTTGTCTTATCATGGTCATTCCAAGTATAAATAAGATGTTTTTTCTCTTGCTGGCAATAATAATATGTATTTTTCTCAAGCCCTTATTCATTATATCAAGGCCGATCATTCATCTGTATGTATTTCTATCAATTGCAATGGAGTTTAAAAGGTGAATCCTCATTTAGAGAGGTACTCTGATATATTCACTTCTGTACAAATGTGGAATTGTAATGAGAGTTTGTTTTTCTCTTTTATTTGCTACACTTATTTTACTTCTTATCCATACTGCTCTCTTTTGCAGACTGTAAAACTTGTTTTCCCTTTTCTGATCTTTGTGGTGAAGGAAACGGTGTACAGTAAGAAGAACTAGAATGAAAAGTGACAAGTTTTATTAATGTATTCTCACAGATTTTGGATCTCTAGTTGTGTGCCAGAATGCAGCTCTATGGAAGAGGTATGCTTAAAAATAACAGTTAATATTCCATCATTTAAAGATTTTATAAACCTTCGTTTTAAGTCTTGGCTTCTAAAACCCATAAACACTCTCTCACTGGAGGCATTTTCTTGATATTTAGGTGAAAAATCCGGAGGCTCAAATGACTGCTAGTATTTGATCAGTGCATTAGAAGGAAAGTAAACAAGAAAGGAGAGATTTCAGAGCTATTTTTTTCACCCGGAAGGTCCTTGTTTATGGCATGTTGCAGTGACACCTGGTGGAAAAGTATTGGAAGTCTAAGAAAAATCTGGTTCTTAAAACGAGCAGATAATCTGAAAGGTATTTAACATAGATTTTTTAAACTATATTGCAGTTATGGTTGGAGCCGGTTTGCACAGGGCATGCATGTACATATGAAGATGTGCAAATGCTCACTTACAAGAACTATCAGCATCAGTAAGCACAAATCTTTTTAGTTACAGGGAAAATGTCACATACAATTGATAATAACCATATTTCCTTGCCCCAAGAGTCAGATGCCAGCAACTTCTTTTTTTTTTTTTTTCAGATGCACCTTTATTACTAACCAGGATCTTAACTTGAACATTCCTTCTACCTCCCACTGCTCCTCCTTATACAGACCCAAACAAGACCAAAGACAGATCCTCCAGTGCCTCAAACTAGTTCTTCCCATCAGCCAAGCTTCCACCACATACATTGCCCAGCCTCACCTGCATCCACTTCAGGTCCCTGGTATCCTGGACATCAACAACCTCAGATCTGTAAAGAGCCTAATAAGGTGTCAGACCTTTGCTGTCAGACCTTTGTTTCCATCAGGGTAGTAGGAGCTATAGCTTGTGCCATAGGATGTCTTCAGCTCCCACATTCATTGTAACCTGTGCCTTGCCAATCAATTGCATTTTGCAAGTTATGTTATGGAGTGGGGGCCTAAGATCAGTGGGGCTGTCATGGGGACAATATGATCCTCCAGATCTTGGAAGTTCAAAAGCATGGTCACCAGCTGTCCTTGTGGGAACCCAGCGTAAGCTGATGCTGTGACTTTTTCCAATCTCTGACATGGGTAGTAAATGGAGTACATGTTGTTGAGCAAATCTGGGAAGCAGCAGCACGGACAATCCTTGTGATCACATATGCCAGGGCTAATGGCCAATGGGATGAGATTCAACAAGGCCAAATGCTGGGTCCTGCACCTTGGCCACAACAACCCCAAGCAATGCTACAGGCTTGTGGCAGAGTAGCTGGAAGACTGTGTAGAGGAAATGGACCTGGGGGTATTGATTGATGGTCAGCTGTATGTGAGCCAGCAGTGTGCCCGGGTGGCCACGAAGGCCAATGACATCTTGGCTTGCATCAGGAACGGTGTTGCCAGCAGGAACAGGGAAGTGATTGTCCCTCTGTACTCAGGTCTGGTGAGGCCGCACCTCGAGTACTGTGCTCAGTTTTGGGCCCCTCTCTGAAAGAAAGACACTGAGGCCCTGGAGCAGGTTCAAAGAAGGGCAACAAAGCTGGTGAGGGGTCTGGACCACAGGTCTTATGAGGAGCAGCTAAAGGAGCTGGGATTGTGCAGTCTGGAGAAGATGAGACTCAGGGCAGACCATATTGCTCTCTATAACTACCTGAAGGGAGGTTGTAGTGAGCTGGAAGTCAGCCTCTTCTCTTGTGTAACTGGTGATAGGACTAGAGGGAATGGCTTCAAACTGCATCAGGGGAGATTTAGGCTGGATGTTAGGAAATACTACTTTTCTGAAAGAGTGGTCAGGCACTGGAATGGGCTGCCCAGGGAGGTGGTGGAGTCACTGGCCCTGGAGGTATTCAAGGAATGTTTGGATTTTGTGTTGAGGGACATGGTTTAGTGAGTACTATTGGTGATAGGTGGATGGTTGGACTGAATGATCTTGTAGGTCTTTTCCAACGTTGGTGTTTCTGTGATTCTGTGATTCTATACAGATGTTTTGGCAACCCCCCTTCTCGAATGTGATAGAGTTTTAAGGCATGAATAAGAGTTATCCTGTGATAACTCTTGGGTTATCTTTGTTATCAAGAGTTATCCCTGGTCTAGATGTTAGAGTACTGACATGGGTACATTTAATTACTCATTCAGACCTACTAGCCCTAAATACCAAATCTTGAAAATCCTAGGATCCCCTGAAGTTCTACCCAGAACACATACTTTTCTGCCTTTGGAAGACATCAAAGCCTACAACTGCCTGTTGCCAACTCCCTCTTCAGACATACTGTTCTTGTGAGCACTGACAAAGCTTCTTCAACCAGGCTGAGCTGGATTAGCAAAGAGCTACTCTTTAAGAAATCAGACTGACCTCATTTATTTTGGCTGGAGCTAAGAAGTTTGCTCCTGAGCAGCTTTGCTGGTGGGTTAGAGGGGGGCAGCAGCTGTCTGGAGTGGAGAGGTGGCAAAATGTTGAAGGAGTGACTCCCTTCCACTGGCATAGCTGGAAGGATACAGTATTACTGTCTGCAAGCAGTTCCCTTGGGCAGCAGTGAGAAAGCCCCTCAGGACTTTCCAGGGCAAATGGATGAAAAGGAAGGATCCTGTTCCATGAAGCCCTTTCTTCCCTAGGCCATGTGCTTGACAATATGCCTCAGATCCTTTCAGCCTGAATTATCCCTTACTCCTACCTCAGCACTGTTGGCTCCTTTTATCCAACACACTTGAGCACAGTAGCACATGGAACTGTGCTGAGACACAACTCAGAGACAACAACTTTGGGTTAATGCTAGCCAATTTATTTCTGTTGTTGCTGGGTTAGCGTTAACCAGATTCTCAGCCTGGTTCATTGCATGAATGCATGAACATTTCCTTGGCAAATGAGTTGGGTGTGGGAAGGTGGAGAAGCATTTGAGTATGATGAGATAATCACATCAATGGGATAAGACAGTTCAAACTGTCTTTAAAATGCTATGTTACTTCTGTGCTTGTGTATACGTGCACACAAAACCACACAAAACACATGTAGAGAAATAACATAGCATCTATTTATACATACAAATACATAAGCTGGATTGATTTCTTATTCCAATTCACAGTTATTTTGTGGATAGCTCTGCTAGTATGATAGAGATGTACACAGGCTGGAAGCTGCAAGTATCTCAAGCCTGAATTCCCACTGACTTCTTTAATACTGATGTCCAACTTGATGTAGTACAGGTTACCTCTCTCTAAATCAGATGTATGATTTATCTATCCACTTCTATTTTCTTCCATAATACATGCGTAAATATATTGAATAGAATTAATTAATATTTTTATACCGACTGATATGACCTATAGTATTCTAACAAAGTTACTCACAAGCATGAGCAAACATGCCTAGTTGTAGGCATTTGAAAATATATAGCAGTAGTAGGAGTTAAGATGAGGGCACTTTTCTCCATCTTTCCATTTCCGTGTTGTTTGCAGCACCTGACTGAAAGCTTTGTGCTTAGTTTCCTCTTGACGTTAATGATATTTATGTAAGGAGATACGCTGACTTTCATTGGTCACCCCTTTTGTTTCAGTGGTTTAATAAGAAACTGTGAAATAGATGTTGTGCAATTTCAAGGCAGCTGCTCCGGGAAGCAGAAAGGTCATACAAGGAATGGATAGTAAACAAAGAATTAAAAATATTTAATAAATTGTAAAGTAGAAATTTCACAGTCACCTAGACTTGAAGGAGTTTGTATGGCCAAGTCAAGGAACGAATCAGACTGCCAGATGAAATTTCCCAAGTTATGAGGAACGTTTACCTGCTGCTGAACAGACTTGGTACTTTTTACTTCATTTGGATTTCTGCTGCATATTGTTCTTTCTCAAAAAATTGTCAAGACCTATGTACGAGTAACCTGGTAAGTTCTGAAAAACTGCACTTAATCTTTTGAAACCCATCTGATTGTTAGCACCATAAGAATTTTCGGTTACAGATCAAGTTTTAATTTTTTAGTACCATATTTGAGTAAAAGCAGAGTATGAGAACTAGTATTTTACAATTGAATTTGTAAAACCTGGTAAAGAAAATATCCCATTAGCTGGATTGCCTGAGTTTTCATTTTATGCTTTTGTTTCAGCAAATCCCTAGATTACTAAAAATTCTAAAGACCCTGGAGTGTGGAGGAGAGAAACTTTTTCCATTCAGTTTATTCTCTTTACTTACTGGTTTCCATCTAGTCTGTGATTTTTCTTATGTAGTCCTAGAGAAACTGTAAAAACCCTGTTGCTTCCACAATTATCCTGAATTTGTTTCAGTTTCATTTTTAAATCTCTTAAATAGTAGGTATATCTTTAAGAAGTAAAGCAAGTGGGTAGATCCTTTCTTAGTATTCCTTTAAATCAAGGGGAATTTAGTATTTTTCCTTCTACTGATGCACAACAAAGATAAGCAGAAGCTCACAAATCCAAACAACAATTCTACCTCAGGCTCTCAGGAGTTACCTACTTGTTTCTATTTGCTTGAAACATTGATGTGTTTAGAAGAGCATGTACCTTTGCTCTGTAAAAAGTACATTTTGTGCCTCTGGGCTAATTGGCTGTGTAAACTTACTGCAGAAGGTTATCACCTGCTCCATTTTGTTTCATACATTTGCCTGACGGTTCCTTTAGAACTATTTCTTAACTCCAGCACCAGTGAAAGAGTTAATTGTTTTCCCCAATGGAAGCCTAGCATGCAGTGGTAACTTTAATGGGGATCCTTTCATTTAAGTTTAAATTAATTCAGAATAAGAAATGAGTTGCTCTTCCTATCAGCTTTGAAAGACAGAAAAATCACATTCATGTTCGGTGAATGTATTGTGTCAGGAACTCAGATGAATCTGAGAGCTGTAAATCTTATTTTTCTTCTTCAGTCTACTTGTTGTGTTCACATTTACTTTGTGACAGCTTTGCGTGGGTCTGGGGTTCTACTTACTGTCACATTATCTGTGTCCCAGCATGCAGAAAATCTCCTCCTGAGGGTTGTTTTGTTAAGAATGATCTTACTTGCTCACAAGATCAAACTTAAGAATTAGCATTCAGCTTTTCAAAGGCTCTTAGATACACCCTCAAATCATTTGTACTGCACAAGAGGTGACTGGTTTTACACACTTGGAGGCTGGGAAGCACTTCTGGCCAAAGAGAAAGGCTGGTCACCATTTGGCTGCATAATGTCTGTCAAAAGGAGGCCAGATAAAAGGCAATTAGCTTTGAGGAAGGTCTTTCTGCCCTCCAGAGGTCAAAGACACTTGGCTTTGCCATTTATTCCATATTTACTCATGGAGCACTTGTTATTGACTCAGTGAACCAGAGTGAGGGGATGAGAGCCAAATTCCTACCTGTGATAATTAAATTAACGCTGTTTGATTTTGCCAAATCTTCTTTCTTGTGGTGCTCTGAAATTGGTCTCAAGAGGGAAGCTACCTGTGTGTCAGCAATCAATTTATTCATACGATTAAACACAAGTGAAATAAATTTTGTTTTACAAGAAACCGATGTTTTAATTTAATAAAATAATGGGGGGAAACATGCTGACTGTAAAAATGTAAGTATTTTTTCCTCTTGTAGGAAGGAGAACTTGGAATTGCTAACCTTTGCAATGTTAGTGACATCAATGTGGCAGTGAGTAATGGTTTGCTTTGTTAATTACTGACAGTTTGCATTACTGCTATTTGAATAACATGAGTACAATGGCCATATTGTCAAAGACCAGATGTATATGCAATGTGTACTTAGATTGAAGAGGCAACTATCAGGCTTTTTGCTTAAAGAAAACTATGTATAGAGCCTGACTTTGTGTATCTAAATTTTTTCTACAAAATTCATTTTCACACTGATTCATAACCAATAATTCTTTAGAAACGGGGGCAAAACCAGTGTTATCCCCAAAATGTAAATCTTTAAAAACTTTTAATCAGCTAGCTTTGTACAGTTCAGTTTTGCTTATTTTGCTTTCACAGTGGTTTAATGGGAGAAAACCTAAATCAACTGTTTAAAATTTAGAGTTCTGTATGATTTCAAAGATTTGTACTGATATCAGGAGACTCTTTAGCTTAACATGAACTTTCTGAAGCAGCATTCTTGTAAGACAACATTTTCCTATTGACAGAAGTCAAGTTGGTAGTTACATATATATATCTTAGATGAGAATTCCGTCATCAATATTTTCTACAGAGATTAGTGAGAAGCAGCTTCTCAGCAGCTGGTATCTAGCAAGTCTGGATCTTTTATGATACTGGGACTATAAAGGGCTGTGTTGTCATGACAATACATAGCACAGTTGACTTGACTATTTGCTCTTTGTTATCGAGTCTTGGTATTTTTTTTTCATGAGGCTTTGTAGTACATGATGTCAGAGGCTCTTGCTTCTAAAGTCATTCCCTTCCATCTTCCCTTTAAAAAGAAAAATGAGACAATAAATAAGACAATAAATGAGACAATAAATAAGACACGTCCAACATCAAGTTCAAATCACATGTTATTTAATGCATCTTTGAAAACATACAATTTTGAAGTCTTTCCTGTTGGAGAGCAGGAGGCTTTTTCTGAGTGTCAGTCCACCATCCTTGGCTATGCTGCATAATGCTTATCTGTTACTTCTTCCCCATGAACAAGTTGCTCAGAGCCATTTTACTCTTTAGCACTGGAGTTTTCCTTCTCTTCAAATCAAAAGTGTGATTACAAAGTCATTTTTAAGCCACCATCTATCGTTGCAGTGTACACAAGGATGTCAGTTTTGGAATGCGACAGTGCAAGTCAATTGCCCACTGAAATGTGTGAGTATTGCCTTAGTGTTGGTTCCATAACACTTGTCTCCTGATTATCAAATACAGACAATGGCAGATGTAGAAAACCTAATCAGAGCAGCATTTCTAAAAAAAGATGTAAAGTCTATAATTTTTTTTCAGTGCATTTATAATTCCTCTGTTCAGAAACAAATCACAGAATATTGCAAGTTGGAAGTGACCCAATAGGATCAGTAAGAATTCTTGGCATAGGAATTACCTGTAACATCAAAAGTTTAAATTGTGTTTGTCAAAAATTTGGAACACTTTATAATTCATCAAGCTCAACCACTTACCTAGGTTTTCAAGCACTGAGGAAGAATTAGAGCTTTTAAGGATTTTACTTTGCTGGGGCCTATCTCATTGTTCAATGCAGATGTAAAAGTAGAACATGCCTTCCCTAGTTTCTGGTTTGTGTGTGTGTGTGTGTGTCTTTTCCTGTTTTTTCACTATTCATCAATACAAAGACTTTGTAGTGTACTTTCACTGTAAGAAATTTCTGATTAATTGGTACCTGTTAAAAATACTCTGTGGTTATATTTATGCTAAGCCTATGTTTCACTTACTATTATGCTTCTTGTTTCACTTATTTGTTTCTTGTCAGAACAAGACATACACCAGAGAATGTGAGGTAAGTTAAATGTTATCAAATTGACACAAACTTAAAATAATCATAATTTCAGCTCCTACAAAGTTCATACATTTCTAAAAAATATAATGTAAATACACAAACATATCTATCAATCCAGTTCTAATTGTTCTGTGTTCTCTAAAGCTGAACAATGAGTTATGTATTTGAATATACAATCCTTCTTTCCAGCTTATTTGCTAAGAATGTTTTTGCATTGAAGGCTGCTCTGTAACAAGGAATATTGCTTTAAAGAAAGCCATCTGATCCCACCAGCATGAGACACAATGCAGACCTACTTAAGCTATTTTCTAGGCTCTCCCATGAGTTCTGTTCTATTCAGTTTTTCATTGATACTATCAAGGATGAACCTGTAAGAGTGCTCACTAAAGTCTGAATGACACCAGCTTGGAGAGGAGGGGAGGCTAAACAAGAAAGAATGAGCAAAATACATTCCTGACTGGATAGAGGACATGAATTAGATAAAATCGAATTCAAGAATGTGTCCTTTAGAGCGTGGGATGTGACACTGATGATGGCAGGACTGCAGTTGGGACTGCTGAGGCCAGATTCTATGATTCTATTATTCAGTTGCTGTATCCAGATGGAGGCAAGCACGTGGCAAAGGAGCTGGAGAATAAACCTGCTGAAAGGCTGGAACGTAATTGGAAGGACAGATTTTTTGGAGGGTACTAGTGTGCTTTTTTAATCTGTGAAATTGCAAAAAAAAAAAAAAAAGCCAAGTGGTTTACAAATAAGGTGGTTTTGGAGCATAAGAACTGTCCAATAAGTAACCAAATTACTTCTGTAGAAAGACATCATCAGCATGGAGTGGTTTTGATTTGTTTATTTGTATGCTTTTGCTTGTCTGGCCACACAATATGCCAGTTAAATTCACAAACTACAAAGGCTTTTCAGGATTATCTTTCTGCTGGATCAGCTGGCTGATTTGACTCCTCATGTAGTGAGGCGAACACCATGTACTGCGCGCAGGGGATCAGACCACTGCAGTCTATGAGAAAGGAGGAGGGATAAGAGTGGGACTTCTCCTTTGGCATAGACTCAGCTCTGTTAAGTGATCACACCCCAAGACCGAAGTCCAATTGGTATTACTAATTGCAGTATTACTCCTGTTGAATATTACCTCTCACCTAAGAACAGAGAAATGACACTGAATTCAGTGGTAATATGCAAAGAAGGGGCAGTTGCCATAGGTAGAGAATAAATTCTTGTTTTCAGACAGAGCAGATGGCAAATTTCCCTCAAAATTTCTAAGAGCTGGAGCTTCAGTAATCCTCTTACATCAAGCAAAAATTGGATTTAGGGTGCTGACAAAGATCAGAAGAAGAAAGGAAAAAAATACAAAATACAAATGGTTGAAAATGTCTGTGACAAGTGAAGTTGAAAGCACTATGAATCAACTTGTGAAACTGATGGCACGATCCCCTATAAACTGGGCAGTATTTGGTTGTAAAGTTGCAACTTACAGCTGATAACTAAAGTTTACTATTATCCATAACTTTGCCTCTATTAATCAAGATAATTCACTTGGAAATATTTTTTGTTTTCTGAACATGAAAACTTTGGCAATACTTTTAAAATGCTTGCATATGGCACGTACTGCCTAGATGTGAGATAGTATGTAGGGATGCACTACGGAACAAGCTTTTATATCTATCTCAGCTGCAATTGTGAGTTGTCTATAATAATATGCCTTATCAGTGCCTGTAAGGTGCCAGAAATGGATATCCTGGAATCATAGAAATTGCTTCTGAATGATCTAAAGGTTAATTATCACTCGAAAAATGGCTGCTGTATGAAACAAACTTCAAGATTTATGGGCTATATAAAGTCGCAGAATCAAATGAATTCAAATACAGTGCCAGTCTAGAAAAATTGAACTCATCACTTCTCAAAAGTTCTGAATTTTCCAGAGACTCTGCCTTATAAGCGATTTTTAATCTACTGAGATGCATCTGGAAAACGTTTCTATCTCTTCTTAAGCTCTCTACTTATAAAGCATAGTAATGCTACAACTGGATTCCTTACCTAAATTGAAACCTCTTAGGAGTTTTATTTTTAAGATCTGAGTGTGATGAACTCACTGTTCCAGGGTAATGCCTTGATTTTAGTTTGTGGACATGACTGTAGGAGGAGTAGTAACTGGTTGTGGTTAAATTTGTCATACAGCTCAGCACTACGCAGCTGTATGCTTACTCACATCCTCAATGGGATGTGGGAGAGAACTGGAAAAAGGATAAAACTTGAGGTACAGATAGTTTAATAGGACAAAACAAGGAGGGAAAATAGTATTAATAACGATGATAAAAGAACCCTGAGAACTAGATTGCCTCCACAGCCAGCTCTCCCAGTTTTGTAGTTCTGCATGATGCCATATGATGTCCTGGTTCTGTCCCCTCCCAGCTCATTGTGCACCCCTAGCTCCGCACTGGCAGGGCACTACCAGAAGCTTAGTGTAAACACTGTTCAGAAAGAGCTAAAACATCATGTGTTAACATTATTTCCATACGAAAACCAAAACACAGCACCACAGCAGATACAAGGAAGAAAACTAACTTGATCCCAGCCAAAACCAGGACATAAATACTATCAAGGAAGTGTGAATTAGCTGGGGCTGCTCTGACAAATTATTGATTTCAACCATTTTGAAAATTCCTTGTAAGAAAGTGCTTCATTGATGAAAAATAAAAGAAGCAGGAAAGAGTGAAATACAAAATGTAAAATATATCACTAGCAAGTTAAAAAATCCTTATATCCTAACATCAATGCATTCTGTTTCCAGCTTTAAAACAGCTCCACATTTGTGCTTTCCACAAAGAGACAGTGTGTAAGGATGAAAGCCCCAATTCAGCACTCAGTGAAATTGACGGAATGGCTTTCAGAAAACTCTTCGGAATGAGATTGTGGTTCTGATACTTTATTTTTTTTAAACCACGTAATTATTTCCACAAGATTTTTATGTGTTCAAAATGCCCACAGGATTTGTATGTATTTGAGATGTATGTATTTCCACAAAACTAACCAGTAAGTTCTGTATTCCCACACAGACAGTTTCCTGCAAGTTTGGCTGTAGTCGTGCAGAGGATGCATATGGTGTTGAAGCGCAGAGTAAGACTGAATGTAGTCCTGTGTCTGATTCACATTCTGATAAATGCAGTTTTCCAATTACTGCTTTGCTTCACAGTCTAAATTTCTTTGGAAGAAAAAAAAAAAAAGAGAGAGAGATCCTATGTTTTTGTTTCATCAGAAAACAACGATTTTCTTCTATTTTTCTTATAAAAATGAAATAACACCTTTTCCCCCTTCCTTTCATGTACCTGAGACTTTTTGAATCCAATCTCAACTATGTAAGTTGATACTTTGTAGAGTGCTCATCCTTAACTTGACTTCTGTGTTGAAATCATTGCCAAATGCTCCTGTGATTTACATGGCTACAGTTAGGCTAATCCTCTAGTTAGGGTAAGCACTGTTGAAATAGACCTCCTGAAAATCTTCTCTATGGAAGTCTCCCATACCTTCTCTAGGTTTCTGTTCAGCAGACATTTACCATGTACATGTAACTACAAATGCATATACCTAAGTGCAGAATTGTATCTACCTTGGCTTTCAGTCAGCTTGGCCCAGTTCAGGCTTACTTATCAAACTATGTTTAAAATGTCTTGTGATTTATTCATCAATATTTAAAATAAATTATTTTCTGTGTTTCACTGCTGTCAGGTGTTTGAAGTAATATGCCCACAGATTGCCACGAAGGGATTTTTCTCACTCTTAGGTTGTATTTCCCCCTTAGACTATTTGGACAAGCCTGGGGCACCATTTGCATCTACCATTGGAAGCCACCATATCACATTGGGTTGGAAGCCAGCTAATATCTCTGAGGTTAAATATATTATCCAGTGGAAGTTCCATCAGCTCCCTGGAGATTGGAGATACACAGAGGTAAGGAAAGGCAATTCCTTTTACTTTGCAACGTTTCTTTGGATTTATAATCCAGTCCTACTTCTCTGGGATAAAAAAAGAAGGTCGTTTATTAATAGAGTGTAATGAAGCTAAAAAACATGTCAGGAAAGAAAGTAATAGCCAGATTTTGGAACAGGCTGTAATTTACAGGTAAATTACTTTTAATTGCTTTATTGTTTTCTAGCAATTTGCTAAGACCAGTAAAGCATGTAAAGATTCTTAGTAGGGAACTGTATACATAACCTGTAGGGCACAGGTTATGTATATAATTTGTCCTTTGCTTTGTTTTAGAAAAAACATTTGATAATACATTAGGCACATTAAAAAAGTTTCCAGAATTATGAATAGCATGAGAAGCTGAGAAATGAACAACGATTCCTTTTCCTCCAACAAAGGAATCTTGATGGAAAATTGCAGGCAAGTTCAAAACAAGCACATGAAGGTATTTCATCACTGCATGTATAATTAAGATGTTCATCTGCATATGTGGATGTTAAATTACTGAATATTAAAACCACTAGAATTAAAAAAAAAAAAATGATTGGAATAATAACTGTTGAAAAAAAACTGTAGGAAAAAAAAAAGTAATTCTACTAAATATTGATATTGCCAATAAATAAATCTGATATAGCTTTAAAAATGTCAAGACTGAGATTATTCTGGAGAAATATAATTGAGAGCTTTCTATTTTTTTTTCCCCTGAGGGGAAAAAATAGTTAGCTACGTAGATAGATTTCATACTGATTCAGTATGGCCTTTTTGTATTACGTTATTTTGCGTCAACTGCACACTTGTTATCTTGCCATCATCTCTCTTGAAACAATTTACAGAGCATGGCAAGTTAGTACAAGAAGGCATGATGACCATCTGTTAAGCAGGAAGCCCTTTAGAATTAATAGTAAGTTGAATAACAGGGAGCAATAATGTCAGACCATAAATATTTTAGGGTATCTAGGAGACACTGGATCTTAAATCTATAGTGCATATTATATCAAAATTTTAAAATATAGTGCCTATAATGTCTTACTATTCTAGTTTTTAAACTTTAATCTTCAATTTTACTATTGCATCCATCCTTCCACACATTCATTCATTGTTTAGATTTGGTTGTGTGTTCTGAATAAAAAAGGAGGTAAAAATTTTTGAAAGGAAAAAAGACCAAATTTTGTGCCACAAAAAATGCTTCTGGAGTTTGTTATCATTTAAACTTTTGGATACCGCAGTCCAGTATCCTGAAATATGTTTTGAGCAGATAGCAACCTATTTAGTAACTTAAGATGGAGGAAGAATGAAAACTGTGTGTTTATGCATTGATATAGGTAGTATCTGAAACTTCATATACAGTCAAGGACCTTCAAGCCTTCACAGAATATGAGTTTCGAGTAGTTTGGATCATAACCTCTCAGCTGCAGCTCCATTCTCCATCAAGTCCCAGTTACCGGACCCATGCTTCTGGAGGTAAGGTATTGTACTATCAGTCTTTCAGGACTGCATTATAAACACTTAGGTTTCCTTGTTTTTGCTTCTTTCACAGGAAAAAAAAAAAAAAAAAAAAAAAGGTTGTTAAGCCTCAAGAATTGTATTCATGTTTTATGCTAGGTAACTGCAGAAGACTGGACAAAAATGATACAGAATCTTTTTATTTGAGCTACAAGATTCAGGGCTGTTTCCTGCTTTCAGTATTAAAAACGTGCACAGGCGAAGAGTCAAAATTGTAAGGACACACTGGATAATTTTATGCATGAGAACTTTTTGAATGAAATACACACATTTTCCCAGACATTATTGTTTCTTAAAAAAGAAACTTTTGCTGAAATGTTTATTACAACATTACAGTTTATATTCTTGTATGTAAAAAGTCTGTATATCTGCAGACACTATATATGGAATCTCGCTGCACTCCACTATTTTGAGATAGAAAGTACATTTTAATTACTTAAATAATTAATACTTAATAACTTAAGACATCATTCATATGAGAAGGCAGATAATATTGTAATATTTGAATATAACTTCCTGGTACATTACTGTCTTATAGACAATATGTGATGTCATGGTATGTTATCAGTGTTTCATGGAACTGAGATAAAAAATCTTTAACTATCAGGATCCTTGTATAAATACCAGTTCCTTTCCTTTTGTGATGTATGATTTTCATACTGAAAGCTATATATAGCCTTGAATATAGTATCACGGAAGGTGCCATCGACTCTTAGTTTGCATCCCATGATATAGTGCATATAATCTCACAGAAAAAAAAAGTTTTCATGATATCAAATTACTTTGTTTTCCAGCTTCACTGAGCTTAATGCTGAAACAATACACTAAAGTACCTGTTCATGTCCCTGTATGACATACATTTTTTTCCTTCACTTTCATCTTGCATCTCTTGTTTAGAAAAATAAAACCAATGAACTCTCAATATATAAAGTAGAAGGAAGTATAACTTCAAGATTTCTATTTTATGGATTGTGAAAAATTCATCTAAACAGAGAAGAGAGTATAGGGAAAGGTCTATGAAAACTGAGATTTAGCTTTCAGCTGATTCCCAAGTATACTGTGGTGGAGATCACAGCTATGCAAGATACTAAAAGTCACCTTGTAAGGCTTGGTCTGCTTCCTCTTTTTCTTTTTACAACAAGAGAACTGTATAGATGACAAATGACCTTCAGTGAAAATGTGATATGGATACAACACTGAAGAGGAACAATTTAGAGGACAACATCTCACAGGGCACACTGTTGTTTTTATGTCCACTGTCATGTGGAGCAGATTGAGATACGGGAAAGAAGAGATGGAAGGTTACACACACAAATAAGAAATTACTTATCTTCAGTGGTGTGCAGTGAGGCCAGCTTTTATTCGTGATCCTTTAGTCCTGATCTTAAAATCTAATTTCTCACCAGCATATGTAGTATTTATTAATTAATTTATACTAATAAATATGACTAAAGACAGTATTAACAGATATAAAATCTAAAAAAGTTTGTGAAAAATGAAAAAAAAATCATGTCTTAAATGCCATCCCAGAATAAATTATTTCTGTCTTTTACAGTTCCTACTACAGCTCCCATCATTAAAGATATTCAGAGTTCAAGTCCAAACACTGTTGAAGTTAGTTGGTCTCCACCACTTTTTCCCAATGGATTGATTGTTGGATACAACTTGGTCCTGACCAGTGAGAATCATGAACTGTTGAGAGCATCAAGAGGGCACAGCTTTCAGTTCTACTCTACCTTCCCAAACAGCACTTACAGGTACAAAAAGAAAAAATAATCAGCATAGCCAAGAGTGCTACATCACATCTTGCTCAGGTATAATGGGGTGTGTCTAAATGCCATATCTGAGCAGTAGTGCTCTTTACTTACTCTCTTGCCAAAAACACAGGTATTTTCCTTCTGATAACGGACTCATTCCTGATGGATAGGCTACTTATCTTTCTTATAGTTATATGGAAGCCAGGTGGAGAGGAAGGAAAAACAGTTTGATACAGGGCAATAGGCTGCATTTTCTTAGTTGTTTATTTTGTTACGGTTTTGTTTGTTTGTTTGTTTTAGTCTGCATAGCATGCTTTCAGTGTATTCAGGAAATGGTAGAACAGCCTCTCTATTTCTTTAAACATTGAGAAAGTTTCCTCCATTTTTGTTAAATACGAGAACCTGCATTCTTCTTGCACTAGTGAATACAGGCCTTTAGAAATGAAACTGAGTTAATCTTCTGAGCCTAATACCCCATTTGAAATTTACACTTAAAAAATTCTATTGCTGTGCCACCTTTCAAATCTGGGGAAATAAAATTCTGATTGGTTATACTTTTCTTATAGATTTCCAAGAGTATTTTATGTAAGTGGATCTTTTCCAAAAGGAAAGCACTTCTGTTACAGCTGCTCTGCTTGAGAAAATGTTTCTCAAGCAATCTCTCAAAAGAAACCTCCAAATCAAAACTTGTCTCTTTGATTCACTAAAGGTTCAGTATTGTAGCTGTTAATGAGGCTGGAGCTGGACCCCCTGCAGAAGCCAACATCACAACACCGGAATCCAAAGGTACAGGTGTAGCAGAGTCTTTATCACCATTTGTTCCTGGGGATAAAATCACATTTCCTGGATTGTTGTGTCCCCAGTAGAAGAGAAGGATACTCAGACTGTAAATAATGCATGACAAGGAGTTGTACACAGAGGAAGCAACAGTACATCAGAGACAGCCCTGTTCTTTGGCTGTAGGCATTACAGTACTACACAGCCCAGTAATAACCTGAGATGATGGTAGGGCCATACAAATTCAACTTGAATTATATTATAGATGAAAAATACCTAAGTGGTCTGAGAAGATAAATTTTCATTTTCTATATTAAATCTCAGTGCTTGTCAAAAAACATTTATTTTAATAACATTTAATATATCATATTATACTCTTATCAAAATGTTCGCAGTTACCCCATGCAAAAAATATGAAAGCACATATTTTTGTTGCTTTTATTGTTGTATTGCAGTATTTATTTTTGGTATATTCACTTATTAGTAATAAAAGTAATGATACTCTGTAGGTATCAATCAAAGAAAAAAAAAGTTGTCAGGGGAAAGTTTGTGTTCAGACAAACCACAAGTAAGAACAAATTCTGTGCTATGAAAATGCATCTTCAGAAAAAAAACAAACACAAAAACCCACAAAAACCTAACAACATAAGACTACACTTTCTGAAGAAATCCAGTTGTCAAATGCTTGGAAATTCTTAACCAAACTCTAGCAAGCATTGTGTCTGTTATAGTTCAGAATGCATTTGGACGATGCCCTCAGTAACAGTCTTCAGCTTTTGGTTAGCCCTGGAAGGATCAGGCAGTTGAAGCTGATGGTCTTTGTAGGTCCCTTTCAACTGAACTATGTTATTCTGCTAGTGAGACTATCACCAAAATGATTCATAGCATCTGCATCACGTGAGACATGCATGCAACTCTATCTGTTTGGATTATCCAGGAATGGATTAAGACAGCATTTGATCACAGTGTTGTGTTAACCCTATGAGGAAATGGTATCTGATAGCAGGAATTTTTTTGAAACTGAAAGTAATAAAATAAGTAAAGGTTTGTTGGGAAACTGAAATTAACCAAATCCAGGTTTGAAATTATACACTACTTCTTAAAATGAATGCAACTACCTTGCAAATCAGTTTAGCAGCGGATGTGTTTAACTTTCAGGGACCTGAGATTTAGAAGCAAGGTTTAGAAGCAGTCTTTTCCAGAGCTATACGTAGCCCAGATACCTGTACCCAGAAGGTACAGGTTTGCTGCAGAGATTTTTATCCCCAGAGTTAGATACTTCAGCCTGTATAAGCAAGAAGTCAGTTTATGTGACCAAAACTCTCTTTCTTTACCTTCATATATATGTATACATATACAGAAAATAATATATGTGGAATATTGTATATGTATCATATATTTATGTGTGTAATCTTCTTTGAAGAACATAATTTTGTCCCATTATCATTCTTTACTTGTGAAAATTATTTTTTCCTTGATGAAAATCACTGGTGAGCCTAACAAATTACATGAAATAAACATATTTTCTTTGCTCTTTCCCAGCATGTGAGATGATAGTATATAGTTTTCAAATAAGTTTGGTGGTGGTGGTGATATAATTATCCCATTTCCAGTGGATTTCAGGGCAGTGTGAATATCTTACTACCTACACTTTCTTGGGAATTGTCAAAGCTTCCTTTGCCCCAGAGTTCTTTCACTAAGAATACAACTGTTAAAGAAACAAATGTTGTGAAATCCAGGTGATGCACTCACACCCTACACAAGCAGTCAGAAAGTGTTGGTGTAATGGTGAATAACTTCATCCCCTTTCAACACTGAAAGTTTGAGTCAGTCATTGCTAACATAAGAATATTTATGTGTGTATATATATGTATGTGCACATGCATATGCGTGTCTGTTAATAATGTGTCTGAGTTAACATTACTCCGTGCTGTAGTTTTCTGTCTCAATTCCAAATTTCTCCTTTGTTAGTTAAGGAAAAAGCAAAATGGCTCTTCCTATCCAGAAACCAGTCTTTAAGGAAAAGATACACGGAACATTTCCTTGAAGCATCCCACTGTTTGCAAAATGGTATAATACACCACAACATTACAGGTAAAAGATCATCAGGATCTCTCTTTCTCTCTCAAGTGTAACTTATACCTGTGTTCACTGAGGGCAGAATGGACCTAACACAGTCTGAGAGAGCATTATCTTTCCTTTGTAGTCAATGGTGAGAAATAGGAACTGTCAAGATGTGATTTGATCTATTTAAAGTGACACACTTTAGGATGAGGTAAATTGTTTTCCCCAGTGCTACTCCTCCATTGAATCTAGGCAACTAGTTCAGAGCTGGACTTTTACAGTAGGTATATAAATTGAAGGAAGATGAAACCAAAGCAGGTGTTTTGCAATGATTAATGGCTGTGTTTTCTCGTCAACAATGTGAGGAACTAAAGTGGTTCAAACTGAAGAATTAATATAAATTGGCAAAGGATACTGGCTAAACCTAGAGCATCAATAATCCTGGGGCACAGAGCTCTGTAACAAGGCATTTAAGTAGCCTAATTCACCAGACTACCATGTTATCTCAAATTACTTGCCACTGTAATGTCTCTTATCTACATTGGTGTGTATGTGGTCCTTGGAGACAGTGAGGAAATTTGAGTTTATTTTCTGCAGTTCACAGAATCACAAAGACGCCAGAGCATGAATGTTGCCCCAGACTAAATACTCTTTGATAGTACCGAGCCGGGACAGATAACGTCTAACTTACATTAGAGTGTATGGTGCTTTGTGAGCAGATACAAACTGCATCTCTTTGCCTTATAGAGGAGGCAGTCAGTTTGCATTCTGTATATTCTGAATTACCTTTCTGAAGGTCATTTTCTCACAATAATGTGAATTACAAAGCAGAGGAGAAAGTTTTCTTGTCTAAACAAAGGCTAGGAGTGGAGGAGAGAAAAAGCTAACCTTTCTCCAATGGCTGGGCTGCAGATTGAAAAGTACTTATGTTTTAAATATGGATAAGAAAAAATAACTGAAAAATTGAAACATATTTCTTATATTATTTGTGTCTGCGTGTCTTTTTACTTTTAGGAATTTCTGTGAATGTTTATCAGCAAGTTGTCTATTTTTCTGCGGGGAATTCCATCTGGGTGAAAGGAGTAGTGGATATGTCTGATATATCTGACCTAACACTCTTTTATACTGGCTGGGGCAACATTACATCAATCTCAGTAGATTGGCTTTACCAGAAGATATACTTTGTCATGAATGAAAAGGTAATGCTCTGGGGGCATTATTAATTTCTTATTTCATTGAAACAAATCCTATAATTTATTTTAAATGAGAAATTCTGATTTATAAGTATCATGCACAAAATGTAATTATAGAAACAGATCCTAAACTTCAACCCACACATTCCACATTTTAAAAAAGAAAAGAAAAGGAGGAATCAGGTCATATTAAAAGCAAGCAAGCTGCAGAGAATTCTGACTCCTTGTCTAATCTTTCTCCTCAGGACAGAAAAAGCTTTCATTTCAACTGCTTTATTTTTGGGACTGACTTCATACCCAGCCTGTGCCCAAAATGAATGACTTTGCTCCTGTAATTTGTTTCTCCATCTACCTTGTTCAGTTCACACTCTTCCTCAGGAAGGCGGCATATGATAACTGCTCAGAGATTATAATACTCTTCACAGATAGCAAAAAAAGTTCAAGAGAGAAAGTATTTCATATTACTGATGATAGCTGAGGGTATAACTGCTTCAATCTGAAGGATAAGCGTAGATGGCAGCCCTGCATCCGATTCCCCATTTGTAAAGCATCAGTTACATAATGGCCAGACTTTACATGTACCTTTGTGTTTCTCTATTGCACTAAGGACTAGAAAGCTGCTCTAAGTGGTCAGTGGGATATTTTATTTATTTGTTTGTTTGTTTGTCTAATCTTTCACTTGCTGCTCATGGAGAGGGGAGCTGGAAGAGTAATAGTGGGACAACATCACAAATGCAGCTGCAGACAAGCAGACTCAAAGCAGAGCTTTCTGAAGTTGCTTAGAGAAGTCCCTGTTTCAGAAGTCCTATTCCTACAATTGGAAAAACACTTTCTTCCCTGTTTTCCCTTCCCTAGTAGATAATTTTTAAAGCATAGTTTTTCTAGTACTCCAGATTCAGGCTTTTCCCTTTGGGAAGATGACTGACAGACAGCTTTCAGGGTAAGCTGTCATGCGTGCTTTTGAGCTTGTTACATTGAACAGTGAGTTGGTGGGTGACAACACAGAAGCTCAGAAGGACCTAGGCTTGTGGTGTTTTGTTGTTGGGGTCACTGAAAGAATCTCAAGTCAGCTCGTTTGCTCAATTAGCAAATGCCCTACACATCTCTAGTTTCTCTTCTCATTCCCCAGATACACGTTTGTCAGTTAGAGAACTGTACAGCAGCTGAAGACATTACTCCTCTTTATGTGACATCTCCTAGGAAGATTGTAGCTGATCCCTATAATGGGTAAGCATCCTCCTTTGAGATCTTTGGTGTCAACAGTACTATAAAACTCCTCTAATTTTCTTCAGTTCATTAGTCATTTGGTTCCTGTTTCAAACTCTTCCATTACCTAAACAAAAGTGCAATTACAATAAATAGCAAACTAGAAAACTTTTTGGAACAAGAGTGATTTTGGAACAAGAGTGACACGATGCAGTATTGTTTCTGCATTTTCTTCACTAGGTTGTTAAAAGAGATTAGGCTTATAAAGTTTGATGCATTTACAAATACTAAGCTCTTTGTGTCTTAAATGTTCATGCTTAATACTTGAGGTATTAACAAAGAATATTCTCTAGCAGTCTGCCAGCCAGATTCCCAGAAAGTAAAAAATGATGTGCTTAATTCTCCCAGAATGCATGTATGTATGTATATAGCAAAAGTATTTTGCTGTTGTCTGTGTAAAGAGAGACACATCTCTGACCTGTGAATGTATTTGTGGTTCATCTCAAAGCTCTTGCACTGTAGTTATTTGGGTCTGTTTTGCTCCACGGCCAGGTATATTTTCTGTCTTCTGGAGGATGGTATATACAGAGCAAACCTTCCGCTCTTTCTTGACACTGCCTCAGCAGCTTCACCAGTTGTGAGATCCCACACTTTGAGAGACTTCATGATCAACTTCCAGTCTAAGAGACTTATTTTCTTCAACAAAACAGAACAGACCTTTGTGTCGGGTTTTCTCGATGGTTCAGAATTTCACACTCTGCGATCACACGTGCCACTTGATGACGTGGAGAGCTTTGTTTATGAGGATAACATATTTACTGTTACAGATGGCCGGGCAGTCTTCCATGAGGAGATCTCGCAAGTGGAAAGTTCTAGCTTCAACGAGTATGTTGTAGACTGCAGTTTGGAATATCCAGAGTATTTTGGCTTTGGCAATTTGCTTTTCTATGCAGCATCAACACAGCCTTTTCCTTTACCAACTCTTCCTCGGCTTGTCACAGTGCTATTTGGATTAGATCAAGCAGTGATCAGCTGGAGTCCACCTGAACACGCTATTGGAACCAGTAAGTTCAGCTGTTATTTCCTGGAAGTCCAATCCTTTTCTTTCTAGAGGAAAAAACTTCCTGGTTTTCCTGTTCTTGATGTTGGGCTTTAGTGATTTCAAAAGCCAGGAAGTGTAGATTTACCTCAATTTGAAGAATTTAACACAACATTTGCCAATAAAATAACGGAATTATCTGCATAAATTAATAAAATGTTATATTGGTGAATAATTGTCCTTTCACTTGCAAAGGATTTTAAGCAATGTTCTATATTAAGTATGATATGGAGTGGCAGTAATGTTAGTTGATATCACACAGGAAACACATGCCAGTGATGCATTGGCTTTCACCACTGCTATGGTCTCTATCCTCTGTTCATGTGTATTTAAACAGTGCTATGGTTTAATCTGGCAGGCAGCTCAGCACTGCACAGCTGTTGTCGCACTCCCCCACTCCCAGTGGGATGGAGGAGAGAACTGGGAAATAAACAGCAAAGTAGAACTTATGCATTGAGATAAAAAACTATTTATTAAGACAGAAAAAGAAGATTAAAAAAAAATAGTAACAATAATACATATATATGCACACACAAAACAAGTGATGCACAATGCAATTGCTCACTACTCACTGACAAATGCCCAGATAGTCTACCAGGCAGAAACTGCCACCCTTGGCCAACTCCTCACAGATTTTTCAGGTTTTTTTCGTGTGATGTAATGTATTATGGAATATTCCTTTGACTACTGTAGATGAGCTGTCCTGGTTCCTGGTTAACACCAGAAAATTACATGTTTGGAAAAATTCTGGTTCTTCCAACTTCATCCTTCATGGGGAACTGAGCCACTATTTTTTGTCACAGAGTGGAAAATATAAATTTTCAATGTATTTGTTTTCTAATTCCTCTGACACTGGCATTTTTTAAATGAGTCTCCAACGTACAGTTTTCTCAGAGACTGCGTATCTTCTCTCTGTAAATATAAACACAACTGTTTGCATCTCACAGGTTGGTCTGCTTGGCAGAACTGGACCTATGATGTGAAAGTGTCATCTCAAAGTCCTTCTGAGGAGGAATGGGTTGTCTCAAACATTACTGACACCAGGTTTACCGTGAAGGATCTGGTCAACTTCACAGAGTATGAGATGTCAGTCAGAGCTGTGTCTCCTGCTGGTGAAGGACCATGGTCAGAGCCATTTAGAGGCATGACCTTTGAAGAAGGTGAGAATTTCATTGTTATTCAGAAGGAATGAAGAATGAGCTATGTGTACATCTTTTCACCTGATGAGGCCCTGGCTTTGAGCAAAGACTGAAAAATGAGGGGCACAAAAAGGGTCCATCTTAAAGACATTAAAAATTATAGGATAATTAAATGCACATTTAGTTAAAATAGCAAGATTCTCAAACTGCAACAAGATTACATATTATGTATTTATCAGTAATATTTATTTATATATAAGTATATATTTACTAATGCAAATATACTGTTGAACATGCTTCTTGATACATGGAGGAAAGACAAAAACAGTTATGTGAGGGGTGCCCCGTCCTCTGTAAGACACTTTCCTTAATAAAATAGTTTGAGCAGTTTTTTAGGTATTAGTGACAGTTTATGGGAAAGTATAGGCTCACTAAAAGCTGAAAATTCTTGGGTTTAATGCAGAGAGAAATGGATGTGTGTATAATGTCTGAGATTAGTATATTTCTGGAAAGTATTTTGAAATCTAGTTCACACCCTAAAAACCTGTGTCTGAGTGGAAAAAATTTCAACTTAAGGGAGTGGGCCTGCATTTGAAATCTAGGATGATAATTGCTTGATTTCAGTCAGAAGCATCCAAACTTGCAGTAGTGGTTAGGTATCTAATAGGGTTTCAGAATATCTTGCTGTTCTGGGTCTGAAAGTGCCCTGAATTTCTGACTTTCTCAAATTATTGCATTTTCATGCCTGCCTTCTTTGTCCATTATTCCATAGGGCAAGACAATTTTAACTGTTTATTTCTGTAACTTTCCAGAAATAGGAACCCCATCTAAAATGATTAAATTACAAGTATACATAATTGTTTATTAGTGTGTACAACCTCCGTTTTCTTTCTTTACAAGCTGAAGAAGAACCATACATATTGGCAGTAGGGGCAGAAGGGCTCTGGAAGCAGCGGCTAGATAGCTACGGGCCAGGAGAATTCCTCTATCCTGATATTAGAAATATTTCAGGTAAATACTATCCAAACTGGGTGCTGCTGCACACTGCTGTTACAAGGTCTTCATAAATTTCATCAATAGAACTGACAGGCAAGAGTTTTCATTGCAGCAGTTCAGACATGAATGTGCAGTGAAACAGCTTCACTGGAGCCAAGCCGTTGAGTCCATCCTCTTTCTTCTGCTTGGTGGGTCAAATTAGTCCTCAGTGAAACCCTACTTATGTCATCCTGGTTACAGCAGAGCTGAAATCAACTCTCTGAACCAAAGGGTTGTTCCTCCAGCATCCTGATAGATGTCATGCTTCTATAAACATCACCATGATATATGTAAAAATTTGTGATTTCTACAAGAAAGTACTTATCTTCATGTTTACTAAGCCTAACTGTTCATTTGTATTCATTTTTAAAATGTAGAGTGTCTGATTTCATTTTACCTATCTGTGTATATATATATATTTCATGTGCTTGTGAAATACTAAACATCTTCCCTTTTTCCTTCAAGACCTCGACTGGTATAATGACACTCTATATTGGAGTAATTCCATGGGGAAAGTTCAGACCTGGTCGATGAATAAGAAAGAGGGTACCATTGAGAATATTTATGTGCCTGACATCAAAAATGCAAGAATGCTGGCCTTTGATTGGCTGGGACAATGCTTGTATTGGGCTGGCAAAGCAAATACGGTAGGGTAGAGTTGCACTTAAAAAATAAAAATAAAAAATTGAAGTCAATATTAAAATCGTAGGAAAATATTTGGGTAGAACAATATTTACCTCTTGCAATCAGAGTTGTATTTGCTATTGTAATATACTGTAAAGAGGCCTTTGTTAATTTGCCAGAGTTATAAAAAAGTTTGGGATAAAGTGTTCAAAAATACTGACTAATGAAGGATACTGAATTTTTGGTGCAAAATTAGTAAATCAAATATGCTATCAACAGTTTTGTAGGATTCAGCATTGTAAAAATGAGTGAAGACAGTGAAAAAGGAGGCTGCCAAGTCCATCCCATCTAGGAGGAATGGACTTTATTTTAAACTTCATGTATGTAGCAAATTTGGCATGATTTGTTTACACAAAAATTTTCAAGTTAGGCTTCTGTACTGTGATGTTTTGCAGAACATTGCAGTTAAAAAATAATTACAATTGCACTTTGTACACTCATATCAGGAACATTGACATGTGAATTATTTAAAAGGTAGTTGACTTCAAAATTGCAGTGCTAATTTATGCAGTGCTGTCAAATTATGCCTTTCATTTCTTCTAAGTGCAAAGTCAGAAGCTGTTTTAAATACTGGAGCTAGAAGGCCAGATTTCACACTGTGTTGCACCCTCATTTACACTCGCGAATAGTGAATAAGAAGCAGGAGAGAAATTCTGTCAGACAGAAGGCTGCTGAAACTCAGAAAGCCAAGGGGTATAAATATTTCAGCTTTTTTTGTTGTTGTTGTTAATATCTGGCAAACATTAACTAATGATTTTACCTTGCTCTTCTTGCACTTTGAATGCAAAAGCTTAGACTTTGAAGCCTTAGGCTTGCATAAACTTGTAATAAATGGTTTTGGGAAAGTCACTGAATTGATCATGGGTGATAATGTAGGTGTGATGCTAAAAGCAATTCTTTTGTCCTTAGATATACAGAAAATCACTGCTAGGAGGCCATTTGGATGTTGTGGCTCATGTTGTATATGTAGTGAAGGATCTAGTGGTGGATTCAGTGAATGGCTATTTGTATTGGGCCACAACATATACAGTGGAGAGTGCAAGACTGAATGGAGAGGAGTACCTTATATTACAAGAGCATCTACAGTTTTCTGGCAAACAGGTGACTACTGGCTTTATTTATTTATTTTTATTTTTAATGTGTTTTAGTGACTACCCTTGAGTATAGTCAGTGTTCGCGATTGCTACAACCACCATGTTAAAATCAGAAGAAAATCACGTTTTTCTTGCAGTATTGTTTTGTCATTTTGAGAGCGGGGTAAGAATTACATCATGTAATACCCATGTCATGACTCTGTTGATTCTACTACTGCTGTGCCAGTGAGGATGCCAAATCTCACACTGGCAATCCCCGTCCTGACTGCTCCTGCTGACCAGAAGAACAATATCTGTGTTTTGGAGACCCCGTATCTTCATTTTCTCTTTCTTTTCCCAGTCTTCCCTTTCTCCTTTTGCCCCACTCAGCTGCAGGCTTGGCCCCAGCCTGGCACACCTCCCTTTGCTGCATCCTCTTGAGAAGTTCCTGGTGGCTGAGAAGAGGCCATTGCAGAGGAGGGTGACTCTTCTGGGAGGAGGGAAGGGGCTTTTCATAAGAGCGAGAAAAGCTAGTATAAGGGTGAAGAAAAGGATGGGAGTTGTTTAGCTATATTAGGGTGGATAATGCATTTGATGAAGGCATAAGCTGGTGGAGTGAAGAGACACTCAGAGCACATAAAGGACCTTGCAAATTGTGGGTGTCTATTAACACCCCCCTTTCCTAACTGGATCCCATCTGATGTGCTCTGAGAGAGCTCTGTGCTCTTCCCAGACAGCTTCTGTCTCCCTGCTGGGCTCTTCATATCTTTCTTCTCTACCCACCCTTCTCTGATGTCACATCAAGACATTTAAGGGCTCAATTCACTGTTAGTTCCTCAGAGACCATCCTTGCTTCTTCTAGACCCATCTTGATGCTGCCATCATGTGGGATTTACCATGCCAGGGACTTGTCCTCATTCTTGCAAGGTGGGATTCAGAGCTGCCAGTACAGCCAAGAAACTCAGACTGAATGTTTACTTTCCGAATAGATCTGCCAGAGTCTTTGCAGTTGCATATATATACTTCCTTCCTTTCATTCCTTCCCTTCTCTTCCATGTGTAGCTGAGATATAAGTGATAGATGACCCAGTTTCCTGGCAGAAAGTCCTTTTATTGCTACAGTGGGGACAGGAGGAGTCTGGGAGTCAGTATTATGGTAACTGCAAAATTGGTGAAGCACGTAAAGTTTGCTGAACATTTGAGCATCTCCTAGGAAGTCAGACTGAGTGACCATGCTTTCTATTGCAGTTCATTAAATCTTTGGAATCTCTCTCAAAGAAAAGCTGAATGATCCCCTCTTCCAACCACACGCTGTGTGGGGTTTTCACTCTGTCCAAGGTACTGGGGCTACAGAAGACATCTTCTCAGATCCATTATTGTTGCAAAAGCTTTAAAGCACATCTTTTGCTAAAAAAGCCTTTAAAAAAAATTTCATCTGTCCAACATGTTTTGTTCCTGTTTTTACCTCAAGACAGGTTCTCTGTTAAACAGAAATTGAAATTCTGGAGATCTGTTTCCTGACTAGCCTTGTTTTATTCCCCAGAACATTTCAACCTCCTTGTCTAAAAGGAGAAGAGACTGGTGTTTCCTAGATTTAAAAACAAACAAAAAACCCCAGACAATTAAAAAAAAAAAAGCTCCACAACAATGCAGGTACAAAACAAAAAAAAAAAAAAAACAAAAAACCACAACACCTTATACCTAGGTTTTATTTACTCTCAGAAAGGTGATTAATGCTTGGAAAGGCCAGCTGATCTCATGAGTCTCTGCTGCATTCAAGGTGAGAGGGCATTTGCTGGGGGGAGGAAACATGGTTCCAGTGTGGCACATGATTAATGTGTGAATCTGAACACACATGTAGAGAGAGATGCCTCCACAGAGACTGGCTAGTATGGACTGTCTTCATGTACGTGTGTTGTACAACCTCAATAGCACACGCACACTTCTCATGTATCTTCTGGCTGATGTATTGTGACAACTTGCATTTTAGCCTAAGTGACAAAAGTTATGTTCCTCTCCTTCTCTTTTGACTTATGGCCTGTTTCTCTGAATCACCTCATTCTAACCTCAGATTTCTTGTTCTCATCTTCAGAGCCCTTGGCAGCAGTAAGACTGCCTGTCTGTTGCTGTCATTTTTTCCTGCACCTTTCTCTGTGTCAGTGATACCAGCCTTCAACCCTCCACTTATTCACACCTCCTACAAACAAATATCTCCTGCTTCTGTGCTGCCCCAACTCTGTGCACTGACTTCCTGAACTCAGCCTCCTGCTGTGATGCACACAGGAAAAATGCCAAGTAAAAATATCTAAAGGGAGCAGTGACCAATTGTAACTGATGGATGATTATTTATTAAAATGAAACCCGGAATAAGCTCATCAAAAAGGCAGTACAATATTGCTTAGTGGTGGAGTTACTGAGCTGGTTGTCACTGTCCTATATAAATATGCAAATATGTGTTTTTACAAGTAATAATGTGTATCTTCCTGAAGCAGTAGAGCCCTTTATCATCAAAAGAATAACTTCTTAATATTAAAACATAGGCGTACTGATAATTGCTATTATGCAACAGTTGGAGCATGCTTTCTACATAAGTGTTTCTGGAACTTACTCGTTTCTTCTCTGATGAAGAATTGCTGTTCAGCTGGTCAGTACAGGACTGTCAACAGTATATAGCTGCACCTCTTTTAACATGAAATGTGAGTAATGGGACTAGAAGATCACTACTGTGGTGAGAATAGGTGTCCTGAAAAAGTATGAAAGCAGAGTTTGAAAGTCCTTGGGCAAGAACTAGATCTCTTTATGACAATTATTTTATTTTGCAACCAGTTTTGCTGCTTATCTGGTGTGCATTGGTATAGTTTGATGGATCTTGGCAGAGCTACTCTGGCTTGGTACTATTTAGGATCTGGCCCAGAATATTCAAAGCACTTAAGTAGTTTACACTGTACAATATGTCTGGGTCAAAATAAATTCATAGGGAGTAGCAAAGATCACTTTATGCACAAGGGGCCAGGACCCTCTAGATCTTGCCTTTTAATGTTGCTAGTCAAGAGGAATTTCAAGTAGCTACACTAATTTTGCACCTTGTGTTGTGAAGTTACTTTGCATGGTCACAACTACATATCATGCCCAGTAACTCCCATGAAATGGAAAAAGTCTGTCTGTTTTTGAAGCAGAAGGGAAAGGTGGTGTTAAATTACCACCTAACCCCTGAATATGAATAGTATGTACAAATATTTATTTCCCTTTTATTAATGGTGATACTGGGACCAGAAGAAAGAATATGGTCTTGCCTGTGGGAAAATCTAATAGTTGTAGAAAGAAAAGATTGAGATGTTTCAAAAGCTGTGGCAGATTCAGGAATATGTAATTCAGTGACACAGATGGAAGAATAGGTATATGTTATAAAATATAACGCTCTTGGTTAAATATGCACTGGGGCACATACATACTGTGAGGTATTTTTAACAGCAACAGGAGCAATCATTCAAACCTTGATTTCTTGACATACAGTGTCAACAGAAATGTGTCAAGAATGTGATTACATAAGGACAAACAGACAACGAAGTGATATAGCATTTGCTTTCCTGTCATCATCTTCTGTGGTTTATTAATGAAGAGTTAAAAAAAAAAAAGGTGCTCCATTTACATTCATAATGAAAATCTAACCTTATAAAAGAAGAGCTACAACTAGTTCTTGGATGCAAAATTTGGGTGCAGGAAAACAAGCTCAGAAAGGCCTCTAACCACTTGTAAGCTGCGCTAATGATGTGGCATGGGCTGAACTTGATAACATGTAGCAGATGGACTTGGTGGAAGCAAATTCTTTGTCACTTACAGAACAGAATACTAAATGACTGATTTCTATTATTTTGCACATAGTGTTGAATTTATATTTTTTTTATTGCAAAAATTAGAAAGCTTTATTTTGAATATTAAATCCCATTTCAAATGGATTTTAAAAATCCTGCACCTGACTTAAATGAAGGTGAAATATTGAAATAATGAATAGTAGGATTGCTTAATTTTTGCCCTGAATCTTATTTAATAATACATTATTTACTAAAACATAAACATTTGAATTTCCTGTTTAACTGAATACAGCCATTAAAAAATGCATGTATTTTACAGAAAAAGTGCAACACATTAAATATTCTATGCCTAAAATCAAAGCCAGAAAACAGAGACGAAGATCTGAAACACTTCTTTCAAAAAGAGGTTCTGATTTTCAGACTGAATATCAACCATCTGTTTTGGACAAAGAATATTAAAATACCAGAGGTGTTTTGGAAATGTTGATAGGTTGTTTCACTAATCACTTGATACATTATTGCCATAAATCCGAAGCACTCAAATGCTCTAGGAATGAATGCTGTGACAGATGCTCATAAAATGCAATCTAGAAATCATCAGCTGCTATAAATAAGTGCCCACAAAGGAGGTGATTGTTTTCTAGTGTTACCTCTTTTCATATTAGAATAAATGTTCATGCTAATAGTGTTATTTTTGCCAACAAAGAGCTACAGAGAATGTAGCACAACACTGATGATCAAAGGCTTCTACCACAGAAGTGAAAGTGTGTACAAATTGCTCTTTGAACTTTTTGTTTCTTAGGTGGTTGGTTTAGCTTTGGATCTCACCTCTGGTTTTCTTTACTGGCTTGTGCAAGATGGTCTGTGCCTAAACCTATACCGAATTTCTATTTGCAAAGAAAGGTAAGTGAATAGTACAGGTGAGAAACTATTTTTTATTTTTATCTCTTTTTTTTTTTTTTTCTTTGTAGCATTCTCTTTAAAAGAAAATTGTTCAGTGCTGAATGCTCTAGTTTCTAATTACACTGTAACAAGAGCTGATGGTCACACGCAGATAATAGAAAACTATATGTTGAGATAGTTGTTAACACAGTTGTAGAGTAAGAGAAACACAATAGGGATGCTCAACAAAAGTGAGATCCTGCTCACTGATCTTTAGACTTAGCTTTTGGAAATAATCAGTATTAATTGTCAGATTTACCTTGGCATTTACAACACCTGATGGCTTGCAAGTGACTAGAGCTGCAGTTGTTCGTCTTGCATGGAGTTTAAGATTTGAATTGACACTACTTTCTCTCCTGAGCAATCAGTGTGCAGTAGGCTTTCCTCTTGATCATCCTGAATGTGAAACAACTATTTAGCAGAGTTGATTAGTGGTAGCTCATGAAAACATATTTTTGCTCCTTTTCATTTGGAGAGTGCTACCTTTTAACAAGCAGGAGATTGTACCTTTTAGATTTAATTGAATAGTAGCTGCATTTACAATATGTTCGTAATGTTTCAAGCTGGCTTTGAGTGAAATCAACTGAATTTTCTGACTGATTTTATACTCACTGTCATTAATGGTAAATATTGAAGGAATCAAAATGTGTTGATTAAAGTAGAACATGCATCTCCACTAGGAACAAATTGGCAGTTTTGAATCATCATCTCTGGCATGCCAGAGCTGAGAGATTAGAAGTAACCCATCCTAATAGACCTGATGGTGTGTCAAAGATTTTCCAAATTTGCTTTGGATAGCATATGTTTAAGTCGAGAGACATTTCTAAGATGGTAAAATGACACCTCCTACAATATATTTAGTCTCTTACTGAGAAGATAAATTGGGATCAAAAAGGACCTGTAAGTTTTGGCACAAAGTAACTAAAATTAAATTATCAGTGACATCAATGGAGGAAAATGTTAATAGACTCTAATAAAAAATGAAAAGTTATCAAGGAAACTAACAGGGTCAAATTCATCTGGGAACCTGCTCTGATGCAATAGAATGAATCTCAGGCTGTGAAGAGGTTTAAGTGGGATGGCTGAGAGACGGTGGGCTGATTTTTTGAAATAGTCAATTTTCTACATCCATGTATCAGAATATTAAACCACTTTAGAATTGCTTTTTAATGAAATCAAAGGAATGAGAGATTTGTTTTGTGGGTGATCCTGCAATGTGCTATTCTAGAAAGTGTTGTGTTGTACAGAACTTGAAAAGTTTTTGATTTGTTTTCTTGCCTTCTACATAAGTAGTAAAAAATTGAATGATGAGAAATTTATTAAGTTGTCAAACATTGCATAAATGCTGTTCTCATTACTCTGTGTGTTTGCTGATTTCATATATGTTTTTGCAGTTGTGGTAATGTCATAGTGACAGAATTCTCAGGATGGAGTATTTCAGAAGTATCTCAGAATGCACTTCAGTACTACAGTCATCGTCTGTTCTGGATTAATAGGCTTAAATTCATTACAACTCAGGAAGTCAACCAGAGTGTTAGTATTCCCTTTTCAGAACCAGCTGAGTTTACAGCCTTTACCCTTGTTCACACATCACTTAAACCTCTGCCAGGTACTTCATTTTCTTAATCTAAACCCCTCAATAAAAGTATTCCCTCTCATTTCCTGCTCTTAAAATTACATATCCGTTTAGCTAAAGATAAGAACAACAGCAACTTGATAATAAATATAGTAGGCTATAGCTGGCTAATGTGCAATTAGAAAAGATTATGACTATGGCTAAAAAGAATACATAATGGTATTATTCATAGACTATTTTTTCTATTTGGTGATAAATTATGGGTTTATTTGTAGTACCTTAAAGTTTTAAGTCTGGTTTTAAACTCTACTTATTGATAATATTCTTTACATTTCTTTCATTATTTCCTCTCTTCATGAGCAGGAAATTTCTCTTTTACACCAAAAGTGATTCCAAGTTCAGTACCAGAATCTTCTTTCAAGATAAAGGGAAATTCTTCAAGTTTTCACATCATTTGGAGTGCCTCCACAGATGTGCAATGGGGAACTGTCTATTACTGCGTGGGATCAAATGTTCTACAAATGAGGGTATTCAGTCAATCCCTCCTTATTATCTACATGTATTACTTGCTCTAGCTTTGTCTACTTTTAAACAGGTCCACAGTTTATTTTTTCTCCAGAATTTAGGAGTTGATTAAGCAACCAAACTAAATACAAAGCAAATACAAAGCAAGCTGTTCTGTTCCTCCACCACTGAGGCCAGCACTGGAGGAACGTGGGCTTAGCAGTAGCTCTGGACTAGCTGCTGGAGTGTGAAGTGGCAGCCGAGGAGTTACCGGGCCCAAAGATGTGTGAGAAAAACTTTCACAGTATCTTAAAGACAGAAATGTCCTCCGAGATGCTAGTGGGAAAGTCTTTGACTGAATGTGAGATCTAGCTTTCATCCACGCTGCATTTCAGCACATTTGGCAAGCTGTACTTTAAATTCAAAGGGCAGATTGCTAGCAGATTGCTGTGCATTATGACAAGAGTTGATAAAACAATGATCACTCAGAAGGAGCAGTTCCGTCCTGGTTGAGCTGACCAACTTGGAGAGGAGAATTTAGAAAACAGAATACCTTTTTTGTTTATTCTATTCTATTCTATTCTATTCTATTCTATTCTATTCTATTCTATTCTATTCTATTCTATTCTATTCTATCCTATCCTATCCTATCCTATCCTATCCTATCCTATCCTATTTATTTTATTTTATTTTATTTTATTTTATTTTATTTTATTTTATTTTATTTTATTTTATTTTATTTTACTTGTTCACAGTCTTTGGAGAGTGAACGGTGCCTCCATCCACATGACCTGACAGTTCCATCCTACAAAGTTGATTGGCTGGAACCATTTGCACTCTTTGATTTTAGTGTGACTCCGTACACATACTGGGGCAAGGCACCAACAACATCTGTGTACCTTCGAGCCCCTGAAGGAGGTATATGCATTTCAAATCCTAGCCATAACCTACAGTGAGTACTGGAACTGTGGGTCTGTGTAAGGTCTGTGTCAGGATGTGGAACCATGTCTAGAGTGGAATGAGCAGCTCCCAGGGTTAGTCAGCCATAGGCAGAGTTGTAAGGACACATTCCTGAATATCTTTGCTTGGAGAAATCAAGGCTCCAGGAGACCTCATTGTGGCCTTCCAGTACTTGTAGGGAGCATAAAATCAGAAGGGGGAATGGCTGTTTACATAGGTGGATTGTGATAGGATAAGGGGGAATGGTTTTAAACTGAGACAGGGGAGATTTAAGTTAGATTAGGGGGAAGTTTTTCACTCAGAGGGTGGTGACACACTGGAACAGGTTGTCCAGGGAGATTGTGGATGCCCCATCCCTGAACGAATTCAAGGCCAGGCTGGATGTGGCTCTGGGCAGCCTGGTCTGGTGGTTGGCGACCCTGCACATAGCAGGGGGGTTGAAACTAGATGAGCATTGTGGTCCTTTTCAGCCCAGGCCATTCTATGATTCTATGATTAGTCCAGAGGAGATGAGTATCTGAACCAGACCCCAGGATTTTCGAGTATCTCAAAGCAGTCTATGATTTAAAGAGGCAAATTTTGCCAAACTGTTTTCCATCACTTCGGATTAAAATAACCCAGGCCATTCCATGATTCTGTGATCTTTGGCAATTATCTGTTGCACACATAAATGCAATCTGTTGTAGTAAGAGAATTTGGAAGAGCAAGAGTGTGGCCATATACCCACCATATGCCCCTATGACTATGAGTAATACAGAGAAATTGAGATCTATTATAATGATCAGCAAAGCCTGCATGTGATATATCAACCACTTACTAAGTTTTTAATAAATGTAATGCACTGCTTAATTGCATAGCGTTTTGCTCTCATGTAGGTTAAAGTTAAGACAGCTAACATATGCTGAATAACTGGTGCACTGAGAAACCTTATGAGGTGCAGTACGTTTTGAAGAGAATAAGAGAGGGATTAGGGCTCATTCTGTATTTCTGTATTGTGATTCATGCCACTCCAAAGTATGCTACAGGATTTTACTAAATAGATATTTCCCAATCGGAGAGCAGGCGTGTATTTACCTGTATCTTGAACTGTATTTATATGTATCTTTATCAGATACATAACTGTTGATGAAAGACAGAAAGGAATTACTGTGAAGTTTTGGATACTCTAGCTAACAACTCTCTACTTACTATCTGTATCTGCCAACATTAAGGCTGTCAAGCTCAGGTGCAAAACTAGAAGTGTTAATTACAATGTACAGGCTCTGTTTTCATATAAGTGCTTCACTGTGTTTTTTATTTTTTATGCAGTTCCTTCAGCCCCTGCAAACCCTAGAATATATGTGTTGCATAATAACATACATGAAGGTGAAGAGAAAGTCCTTGTGGAGTTCAGATGGGACAAACCTGAAACGGACAATGGAGTATTAACACAATTCAGAGTTTACTATCAACTGTTGTATCAGAGTGGTGCTGCTGATAGTCTCACGGAGTGGAATGTGAGCGATGTCAAACCCACTGTATTGCTCTTTTCAATCAGAGATGTGCTTCCTAGGCTTACAGTAAGGTTTCAGGTATGAAAAAATTACTGAGCTTATTTCAGATGTTATCAGTGCATCTTGATGTATCTGTCTAGGAGATGGTGTAAGGCTTGGTTCAAGAATTTGTGGCTTTTGCTTAAGCTGCTGCTTCACTGACTCACCCCCAAACAGCTGGCTTAGCCTTTCCTTATATTGTATTTTTTTGTTTTAATAGACTGCAAAGCTAGAAAGCAATACTGCATTATGCATAATAAAAGATTTTCATATTAAAACTTGTTAGGAGGTCATGTTTCTGTCATGATAAAAGGCTTAGAACATAATGAAAGACAAATTAGAAGCATGGAAGTGTGTAATAAGCTGGTTCTGAGTGGGAAGAATGCTGTGTTGTTTGCAATATCAACAGCACTTCATCCTGGGGAAGGAGACAAGACTGCCTGGCTTTCCTTGTATCCAGTTGATAAATGCAGTATGAATTGTCACTCTCTAGGCCACGTCTTAAAATTTTCCACATAGTCATGGTAAAAATCTCAGTGTAGACTTTGAACCGACCAGCACAGCCTTTGTCAAGCAGAACACATCCATACACTCCTTGCTGAGCAGTCAGGGGATCTGATTGTCATTTTGTCATCAACTGTGATATTCTATACTGGAATATTTTATGCTGCTGTTTAACATACAGAACAATCTCCTGTCTCACAGGTGCAAGCTTTTACATCTGTGGGCCCAGGACGTATGTCTGATGTAGTACAGAGGAATTCATCAGGTATGGATGACTTAGATGTTGGTTTATGGTTTCTGTGTAATAGCTGGTGTACTCAACAATACAGGTATTTGATAATAAATAGTCCCTTAAACACGGGTGACGTTTGTTCCAAACTGTGGTAGACACTACAGAGGAGGTTGTTGCAGCTTTTAATGGGAAATTATGACACACTTCTTATCACTAGCTTAAATTTTGGGAATTGCAAGTCTTTTCTCAGAGGTATGCTAGATTAATTTTTCTAAGCAGTGTCAGGATAGCATGGAATGGTAGTCTTCAATCTGTTATCTGCATAAAACTACAGTAATATACGTTGTTTATAAGTGGGCTGTGAAAGGTATCCAAGAAAGTTAAGAGATCTATTAGGGAACATAGATTATTTCTAATTGGGCTGTGAAAGGTAATTAAGAGAGCAAATATATTTTTATGTGGCTTAAAGTTCTTAGCTAAGCATCCACAATGCCACTGAAAAATATTTATAAGTTTGTATGCGATGACAAAAATGCAACATCAATCTGTGCATCTGATTATTTATTTGTTTGTTCACTTATTTATTTATTTATTTATTTACTACATCGTATAATCAAATATACCTTGTACAGGGCTATTTTTATTTTGTACTTGCTTTATGTTATATGCTGTGAATGACTGCTGTTGCCTAAAATACTTGGTGTAAATTCTGCTGTGCCTTTCCTTTCCAGATTTTTTCCCTGTCCCAGCACTTATAACTTCTTCTTTCAACAAGTTGTTTCTTACTGACATTGACAATAATCATACCATATGGGAAGTTCTGACAAATACAAATATAAAGGACATCTGTTATACCGCTAATGATGATAAAGTATATTACATCCTAGAAGACTCTCTTTTTCTTCTGAATGTACAGAGTACTTCAGAGTCTCAGGTATTACTTTGTCCCTTCTGTTGATTTAAATAATCTAGGAAAATGTGGTCATTATTTTCATTGTTTTGTGCCTAATCATGTTTTTGAAGAAGTCAAAACACGATGCTGAAAACAGAAAGAAAAAGCAGCACAATAGCAAATTACATTTATTGGCAGAATTCTAGAATCATAGAATAGAATGGTTTGTGCTGAAATGGATTTTTAAGACAATCTAGTTCCAACCCCCCTGTTATAGGCAGGGACACCTCCCTCTAGACCAAGTTGCTCAAAGCCCCATCCAGCCTGACTTTGAACGCCTCCAGGGTGTGTCCACAACTTTGCCAGGCAACCTCTTCCAGTGTCTCACCACCTTCACAGTAAAGAATTTCTTCCTAATATCTAGTATAAATCTACTCTCTTCCAGTTTCAAGCCACTTCCACTCATCCTGTCACTACATGCTCTTGTAAGAAGTCCCTCCTTAGTTTTCCTGTAGGTCCCCATCAGGTACTGGAAGGCCGCTATGAGGTGTCCCTGGAGCTTTCTCCAGGATGAAGACCTCCAACTCTCAGCCTGTCCTTGTAGGGGAGTTGTTCCAACCTGCTGATCATCTTCATGGCCCTCCTCTAGACAAGCTCCAACAACTCAATGTCCTTCTTGTGTTGGAGGCCCCAGAACTGAATGCAGTACTTCAGGTGGGGTCTCGTGAGAGCAGAGGAGCAGAATCACTTCCCTCGACCTGCTGGTCACACTACTATCGATGCAGCCCACGACACTGTTGGCCTTCTGGGCTGCAAATGCAGTGGGGAAGGCTGAAGTGTAAAGATACAACTTTCTTAATGACTATCAGTTCATATGAGATTCTCCTATGGAAGAGATACAACTGGCCATTTCTAAATATACAATGCGAATATGTATAATAAAATAAAATTGGAACTTTCAATTTTTTTGTCATCTGTATCAATTGGAAGAGTCCTGAGTATGCTATTGGTAAATTTTTCCTATTAAACATGTATGATTTTACCAACATCTGCTTTGTTCACAAGGTATTTCAACAAGTATTTAATTTCGAATTCACACTGTTGCATAAAATACATTTTTTTTTTTGTATCAAACAAAGTTTAATTTCATTTGATTTCTTTCTAATTTCAAGTGGAAGCAATGATAGATGTTAGTGAGAAAACAGTTTTTGTTTGTATAAAGATGTTGAAAACTTCATCCCACCTGTTTATGTTTTGACTTCTACTTTCCAAGTAGAAATGACTTGGGAAGCCAATCTGATTTCGTAGTATCCTAGCATCGGGTGAGAAAATTTTGCTCTTAAGATTCTATTTCATTTTTTCTTAAGTTTTTCGAAGATGTATTTCTTCACAATGTCACAGCCATCACAGTAGATTGGATTGCAAGACATCTCTTTGTTGCCCTGAAAACATCATGGAATGAAACTCGAGTATTTTTTATTGATCTGGAGCTCAGGACGAAGTCCTTAAAAGCCTTGAACATACAGTTGAGTAAACATAATTCAACTATATCATCTCTACAGTCATATCCTTTTTTAAGGTAAGACACATATTCCTAAAAATTTCTTTGAAGTATACTTGTAACAAGATTTATATGAGGAACTAACTCATAAGGACGCAAAAGGACTTTTTATATGAGGTTTTTGCACTGTGTATGTCTCATAAATTTCTGGATGCTGTTCTACTTGTGTGCTACTTGAACTTGGACATATCTAATCTTAAAAAGATGCCTATGTTTGAGTAAAAGTTTCAAATGATATTTAAATCCTGATAGGCTCTTCTGTTCAAATGATGCAAATGGAAGTCAACACTGAATAACCATTACCATACCATCATTGCAACCATTTTATCCAGAGTATTCCATCATTGTGACCTTCCATTCAGAAAATTTATCTCTGGAAATATGCTGCTTTACTTACCTTGTTTTAAATGGTTGGGAGGTTTCTGATTGAAGTTACTTTCAAAACTGTATTTAGGACACTGTTCAGATTGAATTTTTTTCTGTTGTAAGCAATGCATTTTATTTGATAGCCGCTTGTACTGGATAGAGGAGCTTGATCGTGGCAGCCACATGTTTTATTATGATATACTGAATAACACCATGTACCACATTTTGGGATACGAATCAGTAGAAGAAAAGATGAGGAACTACTGCAACTGTAACGTGGCAGAAGCAGAGCTAGGAAGACCTATGAGTATAGATGTATCTGACATAAAGAAGCCCCAACTGCTGTTTATCAGAGGAAGAGATGAAATATGGGCCTCAGATGTGGATGGTTGTCACTGCTGGAGGATTACCAAGATACCAAGTTTTCAAGGTCTGATTGCTATGTTACATTTCTAGGTAGTTTGTGATTAGTTCCATCTGTACTATCAACAATGCGCATTTCAGCAAAATAGCATTTTTGAAGTACTTTATTTATAAAATTGATTCATCTTTAGGTAAGATGGACACAAAACTAATGTGTTTCGTGCTTCCAGTTGTGTACCCTGTTGATGTAAACCAGGAGAAAGAGCTGTGTGAGAGTGTTTACCAATGCAAGTATGTATTCTAATGAGATGTCAGAAATCTCCTCCCCAGGGAAAGTCTTTGTAGACACTATGTGCCTGAGATACTGACCCTTACTGACTTACTGTGAAGAAGTACTCATTTGCCCTCATAAAATTATTCACTCAGGATTATGCTGAAGCTTAACTACAATATTTTCCTACAGGTACAAAAATTGGAAGCTTGACTGTAGATAACCAATTTATATATTGGACCATTGAAACAAAGGAATACACAGAAATTTTTCTAGCAAATAAAGAAAGCACAAGACACTCTCTTCAGAAGAAAGCAAATAATGAGCTGAAAATCTTAGCCTACAGCTCAGCAATGCAATCATATCCAGGTAGTGAAAATTTGGGTTATTCTGCAAATGTAGTAAGTTTATTTCAGAGCATGTATTTGACATGTAGATCATGCTATGTGTATTTGTATTTTTAAAAAGATGGAAATAAGGATTAACTAAGTGTTGCATGGAAGGACATGATGGTGATTATTGTATGTGGTTTAATGGATCAGGAGAGAAATGAAAGGAAAATACTTATTTTAAAAGTTGTGTTGAGCCTGGAGATTTGAGAAAGGTGGTGAACTCTGAAGCACTGAAAAAGAGCAACCATTCTGTCCTGAAGATGATCAGTTGTCACGAGGTGCTGCAAGAGTTTAGTAATGATCTTTGTCACGATACAGAATTCTGCTGTTGTTCACAAGTATGCAAAGCTGAAAAAAATATGTGTTCTTCCAAAGATGAACAGATAAGAGCTCTGCTTATTAAAGTGATTTATAAAATAATGCCTGAGAGGCAATTCCAGCTTACATGCTAGTAGACTCAGGCTTCACTTACTACTTCTTTTTTGCTTTGTTTTAAAGAAAAAATGATAGAATGTAATGAATGAAGGAAAAATTATTTTTAATGCAATTCCAGGATTCATGGTACCTATAGAGATTATATTTTTAAGTACAAAGATTTAGAACAGCTATTAGGGCAATTAATATATTAAAAAATAATTTATTTATTTTTACATTAAAAATTAGCAAATATACAAGAGGATATTTTAATGGGATGGAGTTCTATAGAATGAAACATTTTATGCTGTTTCTGGGCAGCCAGCAACGTTTCTCCTGCCCACAGCTGCTCTGACCAGAGCCCAGGCTATTCTTATCAGTACTTTGGGCAAATTTAATCCCATGAAGTCTGTGTGGGCTTGGCATGGATGCAGGATCCTGGCTTGGCCCTGGTACAGACTGAACCAGAGATACAGCTTATTTAAAGAAATCCAGGCTTAGCTGATGCAGAAGGGGAACAGCTGGTATTTGGTCCAATGGGACTGTTTCTACCCAGAGATCTCCACAGAGTTATTCTCATTAACGATGGCTTCTGAAAAAAAAAAAAAAATATATATATATATATATATATATTTATATTTATATTTATATATATAGTGGAATAAAAAGATTTGGCATTTAACGAAGAAAGCAAACAAACAAAGCAACAAAATAAGAGAAAAACTTTGGACAGAATTATTTGCACAAGTTTAAGAGAAAAGAAAATTAAAATTTTAAAATAAGAAAAAAACAATTTTATTTTCTACTTGGTACTGAAAAAGTGATGTTTGCAAAGACCATCTGGATTGACTGACAAGCTTTTTATTGCCTTACTGATGTGTGCAGGTAGTACAGCTAGTTTCTTTTCATTCTAACCTATTTAATTGCCATCTAGAGACACGATGTCAGTTGATCATTTAACACATCAGAAGCACTCAGTGAAAATTATTGTCCTGTCACAGGTTCTGTGAGAGGATGATTTCTCTTCAGGGTTAGGAGGAAGGGGACTGAATATGTAGCAAAGGAATTTTTTTCTCAGTGTAAGCATGTTTCTATGGAATTGCCTGACAGAATCTTCAGTTATGAAAATGACTCAGTTCTTTATTCCACCTTGGATTTTTCCCGTGAGAGTTTTACTACTCTAAGAAACTATACACTGTCAAAGAATGAACCTTACATTTATTTCTACCAAATAGTCTTTCTTATTCTCCTTCCCTTATGAGCATGAACCTGCTTTTGGTAGGAGTGACAGGGTTGCTCATTTAGGGAGAAAAAGTCTTGACAATGAGGTCAATTGTTCTTGCCTAAGGGCAAACAATTGTTCTTGCACCATCATTTCCTTCCTGGTAGCAAGTCCATTTAGTAAATTTTTAAGTTGTTTTTTAAAAGTTCATCAAGTGACAAGGGTTTTTATTTTGTTACTTCTTTTATATTATTACAAGGTATTCTATTGTTTTCTCCATAAAGACTACTACTTCTCTTCCAAATCTTGTCTCCCCATTCTCTGTTGTTACCATGGACTTTACAAGTAAAAAACTGTTTGGAAGAAAATGAGATAACATTTAATTGCTATTATTTTAATCTATGCAACTAACAAATGTACTATATCCAAGTGGTATTCTATTCTGTTTCTATTTGTGGAAAAGGTTTTGTGATTATTATTTTCTCAGATGAACAGTGATAGAATCCCATGCACATTTGGATTGGTCCAACAGTAACTGCTTTTTTTTTCATTTGTTAATGTCTTTCCTAGATAAGAGGTGCCTGACTCCATTACTAGACACTGAGAAACCTACTATCCTTGATACAACAAACACTAGTTTTACATTAAGCTTACCATCTGTCACAACACAGCAGCTATGCCCCAGAATATCCCAGCCTACACCAACATATCTGGTATTTTTCAGAGAAATGACTAACAACCACGAGAACTTGACCTACCATTTCTCTACTCTACAGCAAAAAACTTTGGTATGTCTATTTTGGAAAAAAAATGCATGTGCAACCACATCTAACAGAATGTGATATTACTTCTAATTATTTTATAAACCATTCTGTAACTTTCTGTCAAGGAATTTTTCTACTTCCGCAAATCCCATACTAATTCTTGTTTGTGATTGGTATTTTGCTAAGTGGGGGATTCCTTAGCTTTTCCTTGCACAAGTACTCATCTATGTTTCAACTTGTCCTTGCTAAAATCCGGTTGCAGTGGATCTCCAGTTTCTACTTGAAAAAAGAGACGTTAAAGTTGTTATTAAATAAATATATTTTAAAATGTTTAAATAAATCTTCAGCATGTTCAACAACAGTAAATCTTGATTTTATGCACTTTGTGGTAGCTCTGCTTGCCTTAGGAATTTTTTTTTTTTTCTGTAATTCTTTTTAAACTTTGCCATTTCTTATTCAAGCACCAGTCACTGAACAAAACATTATTGTACACCTAATTACTAATTTAATGGACAGGTGATTGGTGTTACATGTAAGTACTTTCCAAGAATACAAGTTTATTATCTGATTTAAAATTACAGGAAATTCAGGAACCTATTGCTGTCATAAACAACCTAAAACCATTTTCGAGCTACACCATACAAGTTGCGGTGAAAAACTACTATTCAGATCAAAACCATCTGGCTCTAGGTGGGGAGACAATTGGCACAACTCTATGTGGAGGTTTGTTTCACATTTTATTCTGGTTTTGAACATAATTCTCATCTCAGTTAAAGAAATGTTTGGGTAGCAAGTCAGGAAGTAGTGAAATTTTCTGCTCAAATTGTAACCTGTGTAGATGTTCACAAGAATCCAATGACCAAACCTGGTGAATCTGTAAGAGTCAAAAGAAAAATGTATGTTTAATGCTTTCACTCACTGGCTTCCTGAGGAAAGATAAACTATGCATAAAAATGACTCAGTTGCAGTTTTTGCCTTGGACCACATTTTAAATAAATTGTGTTAGCATGGATGTGTGATTATATATGTTTAAATGTGTATGATTTAAGCAACATTTTTTTCCCTTGACCTGATAGTGTTCTCATAATTACTGTTTCTTAGGGTAGTATAGATATGATTTATTATGAATCTGGCTGAAGAGACAGTACTTTATTTTTATTTCTCTTTGAGTACCAATAGCGTATTTTCTGTTTGTTTTAATAATCTTGATATGTCCTTCTCAGTCCCTTCCATATTAGAACAAGAAGGCCAGGAATAGTGCTTTTGCCTTGAACATTCACTGTATCAATTAAGGCAGAGAGATAACTCATTAGGATTTAGCTTATTATTATTCAGTATGATTCTTTGTTATTTCACAGCTGGGCCTGTGCTTCTGTAGCAAGACTGATTTATAAAGCCAGTATTCATCTCACACTGTTTGTGTGTGTGTGTGTGTTGTATTACCAGATGATGCTCAAGAAATGTGTCCGGGTTAATATCTCTACTTCCTGTTTGGGGTGTGTGGCTTTGCAGGTTTTCCTTTCTGATGTTAAATTGTAAAGAAAAAAAATCATCTGTCTCTTCAGTGCTCTCTTAGATAACTCAGTCATATTAAATACACTTGTTTTATTTGGGGCACATTTTCTAGAACAGGAAATGAGGAATTTCTGTAACACTTCTGCTGATGACTTGTGGCCACATTACATTATGGGGGACCTATGACTACTGAGCACATGCTAATTATTCAACTGTGTGTAACAGGAGACAATTTTGCCTCACAACTAGGATGTATCTTACTTTGTCTTCTCCTTGTTTTCTTCCATTTATCCTCTGCCCTTTACCTTCACAGTTGTCCTCTCCACATTATTCTGGAGATCCCATTGCTGAACATAGATCTGGTGCTGCTTGAGTACCCTAACTACCTTACTGACTGCTCATGAAACTGATGAAATCTGGGGTATGCCATAGGGAGGAAAATCAACTCTGCTGCACTTTAATGTATTTGGGAGTCTTGGCCCCATCTGCCTTGAAATCAAAACAACCCAAAAGCTTTCCTCAAATGCCTAAAGGGTAACTGGGATTTATAGGGAAATAGAGTTTGTACTTTCCTTACTTTTTGAGAACACTACTTGTCTGAAATAGTCTTGTCCTTAGTTAGGACAGGAAAATGCTTCAGCCCACTCCATGTATCACTCTCCCTATTTGCACTGTGGGACAGGTACAGTCCCCAGTTTTTCTGAAACTCTCAAGTCCCAGAAAGAAACGCAGCATCTGAAGATATATGCTATGCCTTTGTATATGTTGTCTTACGCTGCAGCCTGACCCAACGGAAGTACCTTGCTCAGTAATGTTTTCTTGTTTTGCATGCGTGTGTATGTGTGTGGATGTCTGTCTCACATCCTTCTTCATGAGGAGCTGTCTTCTTACTGCTCTTCAGATAATTTTATTGTTACTGGAGTGATACTGCTGACCTCATTTGATGAAAACAGGGAAAACAATAACAAAGATCTATCCATTCTCTGTAGTAAGCATAGCACTTTATTAGAATCATAGAATCATAGAATAGAGTCATAGAATCACTCAGGCTGGAAAAAAACTTAAAGATCATCGAGTCCAACCATGACCTAACCATACTACCCTAACTCTAACAACCCTCTGCTAAATCATGTCCCTGAGCACCAAATCCAAACAGCTTTTAAACACATCCAGGGATGATGACTCAACCATCTCCCTGGGGAGCCTACTCCAGTGCTTAACAACCCTTCCTGTAAAGAAGTATTTCCTGATATCCAACCTAAACTTACCGTGGTGCAACTTAATTGCTCTTCTGTTGTGGCAGATTGGCTCTGCAGCTCTGCTCCATTTATTGTGCTTGGTGTCACTGCCCAGGGGCAACTTAACATGCAAAAACTCATCCCCTGAAGATCCATCAGACACCTCTGATAATGTCCATGTGACAGAAGCAGAGTTATAGCCAAGCCTGGATAGCAGTCCAATTGTATTTTACTGGAAGGAATTGGGAGAGAGTACCTAGGGATGCTTGCTGCTGAACTCACTGTGTTACAGACATGCTGTAGACCTACCTTCACTACTTTTCCTGCCTGGATCCTGTCCCACAGGGTTGGAGCAGTTCTGCTCTGAGAGAAGGCAAGTGAATGAAGTGGAGAGACACAGCAGCACTTGATTCTTAAGTATTCACTCACTTAACCTTTCTACAGCAGGGCTGGTAATAGGTGATATGTAGCTGCACAGACTACACAACTACAGGTATATTCTTGTGACATGCAGTTAGACCTGTGCATACGATAGCAAGAATCCAAAAGTTTCCCTTTCTCTCTCTTTACCTCTATTTGGGTTCTCTCTGCCCTGCTGTATTTTTTACCACTTAAACAGATTTTTCACTGTCTGCAGCACTGAGCAAATAGGTTCTCGTCCTATGTAGATCTATGTATTTTTTGAGCATATTCCTAAGGAGTATGTCGCAGAAGATAAGAAAAGCTGACCTATAAGAAGTCAAGTTCAATTCTGTGCATGGGAATCCGTGTCTGTACTGCAAAATTCATACGACTTGCTGATTGAGTAAGATTGGATACTATTGGGATGTGGCAGGAATTCACACTCTTGCTTCTTTGTGTGGTAAACTGAGCCAACCTGCAGCAATGTACACCCTTTCTGTGGAGGAACTTGAATGTTGAATATGAAATGAGAGACTGGATTGCTCCACTGAAATGGAATTTTTCAGGCTCAAGTCAAGTGAAACATGAAACTCAAAACAAACTTTTTCAGTTGGGCAAAACAAAACACTGTGACCAAAACAAATGAAGTCTGAAAAAGAAAATAGAAAATAGAAAATAAATGATAAGAATGAAAAAAAAAAAAAAAAGAAAGAGAAAAAGAAATCCCAAATCCTGAGCAGTTTAACAGATATTTTCATCAACATTTAGAGCTTTTCACAATTTGTTGAAAATTTTCCAACCGTGACTAGAATGTGTTTGTGTCCCAGCACTTGTGTTCTCAATTTCATGAATGTAACTGCTAGTTTAAATTGTAATCAGATGCTACTAGAGGCTCTTGAAGTGTGTATGCTATTTCACACCTCAGAAGCAGTGTACATTCCCACTCTTTCCCTCAATTCTGTAACGAAATGAAAGAAGCTTGGAGTAATCTGTACTTTCTAACAAATAGGAAAATAGAAGAAATGAAAAAAGTACAACTTGGAAAAATAAATGCATTCCTCTTGCCACAGAGTGTCACTCTTCCTCCACATATCTTTTAGCTAGTGAAACGAGACATTTGCCTTCCTTGCTAGCTTAGCTTCTGCACATTTCACTGAAATAACCTGCAGTTCTTGCTGCTAATGCATAAATTACAGATTATGTTCTCTTCATTCTGAAATTTTGGGAATCTAGATAGTGTAACAACTTTTAACTTTTTATGTATCTGGACAGTTCAATTGGAAAGAAAGAATGTTTAACACAGAGTTGGGGCATTCCACGTACCAGTTCAATTTGTGGTCACAGAGATCCAAAGGAAGAGTTTATTTTTTACAAAAGAGCTAGTGAGAAATCTGCTGGCATGGAAAATAGACCAACAAGCCAAGTTTCTCGCTTACATAGCTTAGACAGAGTATGTATTTCTAAAAAAATTGTAAATGATAGCAAGAAATACTCGGGAGTCCTCAGCTAGCTTCCTCTTCTGCAGAGCCTGCATAACAAGCTGTCTTGGTGAACACATCTAACTTTGTTCTTGGAATCTAGAAACAACTCTCAAAGTAAACAAAATGAATCTCTTTAATTGTGAGATTCTGAACTGGACCAAAACAAAGAACTGAAGAATATATGAACTTATGGAAAAAAGAACTTGAGGGGGTTGTGTTTTTTCTAACAATCCTTTCAATTCAATCCTGCTTACACAACGAGTTTTCAAATATTTTTTTCTTTTGTAAATTACCTACTGGTCCATTTGACTGGCAGTCCAGAATACAGTATTTCTATTCACCACCGAAATTGAATGTAGTACATCTCCAAAGTTTAGGAAGCTTAATACATTACGTGAGTATGAGATGTTTTACTATCTTGATAACTATCTTCTCTTTGCTTACCAGTAACGGAGGGACATCTTAGGTGAATTTAGGTCAAAGGCCAACCTCATGTGTTATGTGAGAAATCCTGAGTTTAATGATTTCTTTTAAAGAAAGGAGAATACACGGAAGCTATGCAGAAACTTAATTTTTCTAGAGATTTAAGTATGAAGTGTTTCAAAATAACTTTATAAAAGAAATCTAACTTTTAGATCAGATAAAAAATAAATCAGCTTTACATTGTATTGGAACTGCTCAATTCATAGAGCCCAATCTGAATGATTTAATTAATCTTTGAATGTATCTTTCAAACAATATTGCAATACGTAGTCAAATTTGAGGATTTCTTCTTTCCAATTGGAAAAGAGCATAGGCATTTTTTTTAGTGCATATCCAAGTTATCGTCTTACTGCACTCAAATCTGAAAATGATAAGAGAAGCAGGAGTTCTACGATATGACTGTAAACTTATAGGACACCAGCTATGTTTTTGCCTGCATGCATAGTACAATAGCCAAGAATACTACTGTATTCATAACTTGTTTTTCCTTCCTCTATGACATTTTATTTGTCTAAAAATCAGTCAAATAAAAAAGAACAAAACAGTGAGATTCATACCAAAAGTAGATTCATTTTAATTTCTCTTCCAGTACCAGAGGGAGTTGATTCCATTAAGGCAGTGGTTTTGTCTGACACAACTATCAACATATCTTGGAGTGAGCCTCTGGAGCCAAATGGACCTCTAGAATCCATCCGCTATCAAGTCTCTGTCAATTTATTGTCTTTGTTCCCAGAAGCTCCCTTGAGAAAAAGTGAATTTCCAAATGGGACACTTTCATGGACTGTCAGTGATCTCCAGTCTGGAACAAACAATTTGTTCAAGGTATAATCACAAGCAGTATAACCACTACCTGTTTGTTCATTAACCTGTAAGTTTTCAGACCGCTCCTCTGTAAATATGTATGTCTATTTTGAAAATATAAGTTCAAAACTTGACAGATTTCTCTCAGTCCTCTAGTCTTCTCATTAAGGAAGATCAAACATCACAGTTTATTCCCATATGAGTTTTTCAGATGAAATCCTTTAACTGAAATAGTTTCTGTTGTGGGAGCATATCACTGACATCAAGACTAAATAGGAATTTCTGCTATAGTCTTGCTGTGGTTGCCCTGATACATGCTGAAGGAGGATCAACAGATGGGAAACCTCCTTTCTGCAAGGAGGCCACCTAATTCTGAAGCACTCAATGTGGTGTAATAAACAGGGCTGTGTGAGTGAAATGAGTCATAGCCAATAGATGAAGTTTTATCTTAGGAGCAAAAGCTCTGAAAATTTCAATGAAAGGGAACTCTTTTATTATATGAATAGTGGGCTTAGTCGTTTTACGAATGGCTTTTTTTTTCCTTTAATATTTTTTTTTCTTCAGTAAAAAAAAAAAAGTCCAATAAAACAACAAAAAGTATCTGATATCGTGTTTTTGTGATTTTGAAACACAATCCAGCATGTGATGTAATGTCTGCATACTGGTGTAAGAATCTGTGGCATTTAGGAAGGGTCTAAAAGGAGAAGAGTTTTAGTGAGAAAGATGAAACTGAAAAGAATCTATGAGTAGGGGGACTGCAGAAACCACTGACATCCATCCTGAAGATATGTAACACTGAAGCACAAAATATTTCATCCTGGATTGCCTGAATATTACCTTGTTTTAAAATGGCTATCCTTCCAAACACTCTAAAGCCACCTTTTCTACCTGGTCTTGTACTGTACAGTTCATCTGTTTCCTTACTAGGTTCTTGCTTTTCATCCCAATGAGAACTGGTTTTCTGAAAGCGTCCCTGTTACTGCAAAAACTTTTGAGTCTCCACTTTCACCTTCCAAAATAATCCCCAGAAATACCAGTTTCCAGCTAGAATGGAGAGCTCCTCTGCACATCAATGGAACCAGCTTCTGGTTTGAGCTGCGTAAGGTAAAAATACTTAATTTTTTTCCATATCAGATTAAACTTAACCCAGTTCTATCCTGGTGAGCAAGACAGCATGGCAGGGCATATATGAAGAATCTCAGTGGTTAATTTGGGCACAGTGATGTCAGTCTTAGTGACTCAGAAGAAGCAGGATGGAGCCAGCATTTGCCAGGAACAAGGAGGAGTGCAGCTGTAGCATTTAATACTCCACAGTGCCAAAGGACATCCTGGATGACCCCACCAGAATTCCTCCTGGGTCTCCTGTTTCAGTATAGTTCCCTCCCTCTTTCCTCACTGCCCTCCCCCAGTCTGTCTGTTAACTGTGAACTGTACGTCCACTCTGCAAAAGAAAATAAAGAAAAGGATATTTGGCATTAAATGTCAGCTACAACCTGGTATCTGAATTTTATTTTCCTATGATAGTAGTTAAGAGAAAATGCTGGATGGAAAAACAGGTCCGACAGTGTAGACTGCAGAGATAAGTGCAGCAGTGACAGCAGCAAGGACAGGAGCTTCAGGTTTTAATGTTTAGAAAACTATACACAGAAAATGTCCTGTGCTAAACTAGATCGCATAGATTCCTTGATACAGATAATCAGATCCATGAAGCCTATACCAGATGTTTCCCACTTGCCATAAAAAAGCGTCGTAGTGCAAACTCCACTAAACCATCTCCTTTCAACTGCATCATGGCAAACTGAACTCGTGATTGTGTCACAGTGATCTAGAAACACAACTGCACAGAGTTAAGCAAGGGAAAAGCTCCTTTTAGCTGTGCAAAGAGATCACTTAATCTATTGTCCTTTGTGGTTGCCAAGACTTGCAGGTTTCCTGAAAGCAAAGGGGGAAAAAAAACTAGTTTTTGTGTTCTTGGTCTTTAACAAGGTAAAGTCCTGTGATTGAAAAAACACATGCATAACCTCTCTCTTACAATATTAAAATGTAGCAAGCTGGTTATATATCCACAAATAATCTGTGATATATTTTCAAGAGAGTAAGAAAGCTGACCACGATGATATTTTATTTTTCTAGTGGCAAACAAGAAGTGACTGGTTTTCTCCTGCAAGCACTACATGCACTATAGGCCCTGTTTACACATGCAATCTCACAGGAACTCTTCCTTCTGCCAATTATCTTGTAAGAGCAACAGTAGTATATGTTACAGGAATGAAAAGCACTTCCTTTCCAACAAGCTTTAAAACTACAGGTAAGCGCGTAGCATAGGATAACAAGATTTTAAGACTATTTTCAGAACATGAATCATCAAAACCTATTTTGTATAATTTAACAGGTAATTTTCTTCTACCAGGACCTAATACTTTTGGAAAATAAGTAACAGAATACTAAGAAATTAAGATTAACTTCAAGTGAACATGGGGAAAAGAGTGAGGGAAATTGAGATGGAACACCTGTATCCATATTAACTCATAACTACTCATGAAAAGCTGCATGTGAGCAAAAATTTTGAAATTTGCCCATCACAAAGAGCAGGCCAAAGACTCATTTTTCATGGGGTATTATTGATACTGATCCTTGCTCCTTTTGTATATCCACTCTTATACGAGTGTAAATTTTGCTCTGTTAGCCTTTTGTTTTGCTGTACATGTTTAAAATGTTTGTATCTTCCCCATTTGGCCAAAGCTGGTGTTCCCAGTAAGCCAGGAACGCCCAAAAGAGCAGAAGACTCTATAAACTCTGTACAGTGGGAAAAGGCTGAAGACAATGGAAGCAACCTCACTTACTACATCTTAGAAAGCAGGTAAGCAATGTGTGACAGTACTTGTTACCTAGGGAGCAGTGCAGAAAAAAAAACAAGGTGAGCAGGAATAGGCTTTGCTAGAGGCTTTGGTTGTTCAGATACATGGACAGGTAAACTAATCTGGTGCCAAGCATGTTGCACTCAACCACTTCCCTCTGAGGAAGCACCGGGGTGCTATGCATCCATAGGTCAGCGAATATCTCTGATGATTCTGAGCTGCCTTTTGAGCCCAAAACAATGTGGAAGTTTTGGAAATCGCTGAGAATTAGTTATTTGTCTCTGAAATTGTCACTGCTTGGGCTTTTGTGCAGTCTAGGAGGATAAATCAGCCTTGTGTCTTGCTATCACAAGAGGGATTCCTATTAGCAGTTTCCACTTATTCTGTAATTGCTTTTGCAGTTGTAATTAAGAGATAAGTGGGCTCATGATTTGTTGACATAAAGGACATAAAGTATGAAATTTCTGAACTGACGAGCAATTTTTGTTTTCTCTGCTTTGAATATTCATTTTCACTTGTTCTGAGTTTTCAGAATATTATTGGGGTTGTGTTTAGATTCTGGACAATTTGAAGTACATCTGATAGAACTAATCATTTTTGCAAAAACAGATATGAGATCTCAAGGGCTTTCAGTATATCTTTGATAGGAATAGTGAAATGTCAATGATGCAAATGGCCCTTCTCGTAGGATCTCATCTTTCTGTAAAATAAGTAGCCATTTTTTGACATTAATTCCTAGAAAACATTGCATATACACTAACAACATTTCCAGACCAATCCTTGAAATACAGGAATATATTTGGATATACATTGTTCACTTTCTTTCAAATCTTTCAAATCTGAATTTTCAAATATTTAGTAAATATGCTCAGCTAAAATATATATTGAAATATCTTAGCATTCAGTGGACGTAAGGAAAGCTCTATAATGTTGCCAGGAAGAGTCATAAGGTATTCTCACAAATATGAGAAGATTAGATGATATTTATAGTAATTTGTCAAATACAAATCACTTGAACTGCACATGTCACACTTACTAGGCTCCACTGAATACTATTTCACACGTACTCCTGCACTAGCAATACAAGTGCTGAATGGACAGGGTAGAGTATGTTGCTGATGGCTGTGACTTTGAAAGTTCTCATTATTTTGACCAGTATTTGGCCAAGTGTGTTTAATGCAGTCAGTGAAAGGTTTAATTAGTGCATTATTTAAAACTGACGGAGGTTCAATTTCCTGAGATATTCCTAAGATGTTTTAAATGAGCAGTGATAGGGGGAATCTAATATTTCCTTTTACTCAGTCAATTTAGTGCTTATAAAAGTTAAAGATTCACAGCACTGTGGTGTTGAGCATACTTTACTCATGTAAGTTTTCACTCAGAAATATTTTCCTGGTGCTGTTAGGTCCCAAACAGTTCTGTGAGTGTACAGCAGCACTGACTTTCATGCTATGAGACCACAATAATTTTGACGTGCCAACAGCCACACTGAGACTGACTTGCTGTGGCCCAGGTCAGGACTGTCTTTTAACTGCCATGTTCTCCAGACTCCAGCTTCATATTCATGTCTGGAATCATACTGCATCACCGAGGCTTTTTTTAGATTAAGGAAATATATTTTTTTCTTCTGCAGCTTCAATGCACATATGCAGAGAATATGCAGAACTGCACTTTGAACCTCAAGGTATCTCTAAGCCCTTCAGAAAAGTGTAAAGTCAGACCTATATTATTCTGGAAAATGTTTGCATAGCCTTCTGAAATAACCCATTTTTCATACAGTTATGGTAGGGATGTGAACGTGAAGGTATAATTTTTACTTGTCTTTTGGTTTAGAAGTGTTTGGCCTTTTTTCTTAATTGAAGCATATTGGGAGAGTGATTGACATACTCATGAAGGTCATCTCACATGAAATATTACAGTCCTGTGTGACATGAAATGATATTTCACATATTGCCTTTCAAGTTGAATGTGTGGTCTGGTTGGTGAATAATCAGCTCTGGATTTATTGTGAGCAATCAATCTCAGTCCAATGGGGAATGGAAGAAATATACGCAGCAGTCAGCAGATACTATGGGAACCTGGCTAGCTAAAGAATTGTGTCTTCCCTGCCAATGACTTGCTTCCTGTTTAGCTTGTGAAACCTGATGCACAAGAGCCACTGAATTACTCTAGACCCAGGAAAGCAAAAACTTCTAACAGTACACAAAATAAACACTGTTGTTGTGTTGCTTTTTTTTTTTTTTCCTGAAAGCTGAATAAGAAGTTCTGAAACCTTGGCTGTAAGGTGTGCACTGACACGGATGAAAGTGTGCTGCAGCTTTGTACATCTAAAATGTTCTAGCATTTCATTTCCAATGCCAAACTGAGAATGTGTGATTCCTGGCATTGCTGAAATGGCATGGTACAATTTTCTGCTCCAGAGCCAAAACCCCATGAATAGATTGAGCTTTCATGCAGGCAGAGAGATTTTGAGAAAGCTGTGAAAGTGAAGAATGGAGGAGAAGTAATGAACAACACTTACTGCATTAATAATGTACCTGGGTTATTTCATTGTGCCTGTTGTAGGAAGCAGTCTGGCAACACCAACAGAGTGAAGTCCTCATGGGTGGTGGTTTACAATGGTTCTTGTGACAGCATTTGCACATGGAAGGCCGAGAACATAGAAGGAACTTTTCAATTCAGAGTAGCAGCTGCAAATATGCTGGGGCTTGGTGAATACAGTGACACAAGCAAAGACATTGTGTTGGCTAAAGGTATGTCCTACACTTTTATGTTTTGTTAATCAAGTTTTTTTCAGAATAAATATATATTTCAGAAGAGAGACCTATTTTATGACGAAGTTGTTGCACAAAGAATATGTCTGCAGGGTAATTACTGGTAGCATTTACATGGTAACCCCAACTGCCACTGCTTTGCACAGAACAGTGGGTCTGAACTTTGATTCTGCTTGTTTATACTGATTTTTCTCCATGGTCCAGCACTTTGCATCATGATGTGATTCTTGAAGTAATGCAAGCTTCCATGCTTGATAAAGATGTGAAAATTACTACTTGATGTCAGTCAGAATGCTAGGTCTGTACACTGCTGTTATTTTCGAAAATCCCATCCTGAGTGATCAAGCATTTGGCACATTCCCTTTACATACATACTGTGGGTCATCAGTGTGTAAACAGTTGAGACCTGGAGGAAGAGAACTGATTTGACCAAATATAGATGTGTCCACATATCCTGCAAGAGAGCTTTGTGCAGAGAAAGACACTTACATGGCAGGCAACTCAAGGGATCTTTCAGGTTTGCTCAACACTTTTACGTTGATACAACTCATATGCACAGTTGTTTACCAGTTTTCCCCTTCTGTTTCACAGATACTGTGACCTCTCCAGATATCACTGCTATTGTTGCTGTGATTGGAGCAGTTGTACTGGGCTTGACTATGATCATATTGTTTGGTTTTGGTATGTGATTGATTTTTTTTTTTTTTTTGCATATCCTTGGTTTGCAAGGCGCTTCAGATAGCAGGAGGTGATGGGCCTCCAGGTTTGGGAAATGCTGTGCAATCTGCAGTATGGGAGCAGGAGGGAATTTCTGTGCTCTCATCTTTTGAGGTCCTAGAGATGTATGGTTACCTTTTCAACATCCAGGAAAGGATAACAGTTCACTCTATCTTAAGGCATTTATTGCTGTAGATTATTTGTAGAAACGGCATGGAAATGCTGAAGGAGCTCTGATGTTCTCATGTATCCTTACGAAAACTTGTAATTCACAAATTAGGTATTGTGTTTATTCACCAAAAGAATTTGTTTTATCCTCTTCAGCCTTTTTCCTGAAGGAAGGATGAAGAAGTTAGTCTGTAATATAAGTATTTAGATACGAGGGTCTTATCCTCTCATTCCTCATCTTTGCCATGTGATATTGCACCATCTCTTAGGGTTTTGGTCTTGTCACATACAGAAGTGGATGCTTGCCTAGTTTCTCAGTTTTCTGTCTTCTGTGGGAAAAGGTGGTGGCTCATTCACACTTACTGCCAAAGGGTCATGCTGTACAGAATGACCAAAAAAAAAAAAAAAAGAAAAGAAAAACAAAAAAAAACAAACAAACCTTGAAGCTTTTGAGAGCCTACTCACATTCTGGGATGCTCTCTGAGTAAAATATCTTATGGTCTTCTTTTCTATTCCAGTATGGCACCAAAGATGGAAATCAAGAAAACCAACCTTAACTGGGCAGATAGTGCTTGTCAAGGAAGATAAAGAATTAGCTCAACTCAGGGGAATGGCTGAGACAGTGGGGTTAGCCAATGCTTGTTATGCTGTCAGGTATGTCCTTGAAGGAAATGCATTTTCAGTACACAAACATGGAAGAGGGCTTCCCTGGATTGGTTTTTATCAACATTCTCATCCCTGACAACCTGATGTGGTGATGGGGTCTGCCTCTGCTCAGAGGGCAGGTCTGTTCTGAAGTATGCCCTTCCAAGCTAGTTCCCTGGTATACAATTTGGCCTGGATTTCCTCTAGCCCACCCTGAGTGCTCACTTTGGCAAGAAACACAAGCGAAGGGGGAGGGAAGGAGACATGGTGTTTTCCAAGAGATTACAAAACATTCAGATTTCACCCAAACTCCCCTTAAATGTAGTTCATGAGAGAAATAGCATCAGATTCATATAAGGAAGATTTTTATATAATGTCAAGCATTTTTAACTATTAACAAGTGACTAGTACTGATGTTTTGCAGCACTCTTCCTTCTCAAGCAGAGATTGAGTCATTGCCAGCTTTTCCTCGGGACAAATTGAACCTACATAAGTTGTTAGGAAGTGGAGCATTTGGAGAGGTATATGAAGGGACTGCACTAGATATCCTGGCAGATGGAAGTGGGGAATCCAAAGTAGCAGTCAAGGTAATCACATCTGTGTAGTCCTCTGGAAACAGAATGGAATGTGCAGAGATTTGGCTCAGGGTTTATGCCACTGAAACAAGCTTTGAGAGATTTAGATATTTCCTTGCTGGATTTCTTGCAAGTCACTTAAAGCTGAGTCTATCACTTTGTAACAACTGCTGGAAAATACCATATATTTAAGGCTGTTTCTATGTCACCTGTATGTGCTAAAAGTGATGGTGACATAAGTGTTCTTGTGCTTTCTATTGAGTAGACTTTGAAGAGGGGTGCAACAGACCAAGAGAAGAGTGAATTCTTGAAGGAGGCACACTTAATGAGGTAGGAAGAGCTTTGCCATTGGGCATCCTTCAAAGCTGCTCTCATATGAGTGTGGTGGACTTTGATAGGAATGAGAGCAGTGCTTTTCTCAGCCATAGCGTTTTGGGGTGGTCTCCTGTTTCTTCTAAGAAACCTCAGATTGTTACTGATTAATCTCATGAAACTGAAGCTATAAAACTTTTTTGCAAAATTTAAGATTTGGATGGCAAATTTGATATATTGATAGAATGGATTTGTTAGGTTTTGGACTGAGATATTTCAGTCTCTGTTCCCCTAGAACTAAGTTGTTAAAGGTAAATAGCAACATTTGGCTGACATTATTTTATCAAAATAAATGCATAAAACAAGCTTGTGCCTAGCAGTTTCAATTTAGTGTAGAAATTGTTTTTTAAATACGTGCATACTTACCACTAGAGGCTGCCACATACCTATTCTACTGAGGTGCACCCCAGAAAAAATAATATACGTCTGCAGTGTGAGAACTTCACATGGAAAAGTCTGCATGTCAGCTCGAAGTCTTGTTCTCCAGAGTCTCCACGGAGACCGGTAGAAACTGAAATTAAGTTTTGTTTGATTTTGAAGAACAATGTGACTTTCAGATGTGTTGATCTACGTTTCCTTCACTTCCATTTCATAAATGCAGGATTAGAGTCATATTTTGAAAAATGAAATATTTTATTTCCTGCACAGAAAATGTAATTTTTACAGTGTTCTTTTTTGTTTGTTTGCTTACAATTAAAATGTATCTATATCTTTCATTACTTTGCCTGACTTTTACCTAGAACTATACACTGAAAGAGGTAAAAAGCTTGTGAAATTTAAAATGAAATCATGTAATGACGGTGTAAATTCATGATGAAGAGTAAGTGCTGTGTGCAAACTTCCTATGTCTACCTGGCAGTCATAAACCCAGTTAAAAACTCCTCTCTGTGTAGTATGGAAATTATATGTACTCAGTGCTTCTCTAATTCTGTTTTTTCATGTTGTTATGGTTTTTTTTTTTAGCTACAAATCCAAACTGAGAAATCCTGTAAAAATATGTTATTGGAATTTATTAGATTTAAATTTAAATACTAATGTGGACCCACATGTATACCAGTTAAATGAGAAAAAGAGAATAGGAAAGGTTAGGTGTTACATATTTCCAGTAGTCATTAAATCATAATAGTAAAAAGACGTTTTATATTCTTTAAATATTTTTTTAACTTGAAAAAGAGTGATTTAGTTTCCTCCTGGAGAGGTTAGAGACTTTTCTTGATGTTCATCAGTGATGTCTCAAATTAAGCCAAAGGCAAAAAGGTTACATAGGTGGCTGTGGTTGTTTACAAACCCTGATGTTCTTTGTTTAAATGTTGCTTGCTTTCTGGGAGTTCATTCAATAGTAGTGTTCTGCTGTCTTTGCTAAGTTTCTTCTACTATTGCTATGTAGCAGTGGAAAAAGTTTTGAGCTTTGTCTGATTGAGAGGTATGTGCTGCGGGGGAACTGTCAAATTCAAAATCACACTTTTTGCTGAAGAGCTTTTGCCCACACCTAAGATTAAGTGAACTGAAAGAGATTAGAAGGAAAATGTTCCCCTGTTGTATTTGTTTGTTTACTCTGGTGCATTTGACAGCACTTTAGACACCACCCAACAGTGATGTCTTCAGTTTTCCCAACAGGGTCAGGTTTCTCTGGCTGATGGTGCAAGTCCTTTCACACAGCAGTGCAAAGAGAAAACTATTTTCAGACACAATAAATGTGGTTGTAAAAACATGATCACTGAAAGAGTCAATGAGTATTTTGCACTGTTTGTAAATTGCAAGATAGCAGAGGACTGATTTCTCTGTCATAATCCCAAAACTTTGGACACACACAAGCAGTTACTCTCATATCTGCTAGTTCTTCTCATGCATGTTTTGTTTATCTTGAAAAAACAGAAACAGTTAAACAAAACAGTTCTCTAGATTGTAAGATGACGGTATCGTACTTTATGCTTCTATTTCTCTCTGTGCGTTTCTCTAAATCAATAGTTCTACTGTGACTACTGTAGTAGGAATACTCTACTAAAATAGTAGACATACTTCCAGTGTACAGGTGGCAATTCATGTTATTCCAAGATGAGATTACCTTTGGGTATCTTGTCTTACTTCATGTAAACACGATGAAGCATGCCTTTAATATGCATGTATGCATTAGAGTATCTGTCAAAGCACAGTGTAAACTCATGCTTTGAAAGGATGTCACAGAATTGCTCCATGACTAAGCAAGTGAAGGTAATTTAAGTTACTAAATCATGATGTTGGTGCAGGTGGGATTGTAAAGGATAAACCCATTCATTACTTGTAGCTATATGCAAATTATTGTCGACCAATTGAATTTTTTCATATTTAATCTTACAGTCATTTATTTCTCTTCAGTAAATTTGATCATCCCCACATTCTGAAGCTACTCGGCGTGTGCCTCTTAAATGAACCTCAGTACCTTATACTGGAACTGATGGAAGGAGGAGATCTGCTTAGCTATTTACGAGGAGCCAGAAAGCAAAAGGTAGGATGACCTCAAGGGATCTATTTTTAACACGTATCTGCCCACAGTTTCTAGGTTTTAATCTTCCTTAAAGGCCATGCTGATGTCCAGTTCCTTCTGCATCTGCAGGCTCTGACCTGGCTAATGCCCTGGGATCTCAGCATTGAGTGCTGACCAGGCATTCAGAGTTGCTGTGAAGAAGAGTGAATGTCATGTTGAATACCATTAAAACACTGACTAAAAGTGGGATTTTTTTCAGTCTTGATATGTCTGTTGAGTCCTTCTCTATGAACACTGTAAACAGCCCTTTGAAAAGTTATCATACATAATAGTGGTCATATATCTTGTCCACTAGGCCTCACAGTTGTTGTCGTCCTTGTGGCTATATCCCAAAAGTCTTCAGAGGAAAGAGAAGAAAAGAATAAAGAATAAACCTCTTTAATTAAGAAGTTAATTAATTTTCATAGTCAGCATGAAGATTAAGAATATTAATGGTATGAGTTTATGTCAAAGGGACTTGACACTGGAATTTTAGAGCGGTGTAGCAAGTGTCTATTTCATTTACATGATCACATCAAATCCACAGTCAGTGTTGAAGCCTACTGAACAGTACATACATGTATTCTACAGAAATAACCTGTTCTACTGACTAATACAGCAGCAAGAAGACCTGATATAATAGCAAGAGGAAATATTTGGTGTCCCATTTCTTCCACTACAGCAAAGAAGTAATTTTGAAGGTCCCAGGATATTCTTAGCCCCAAATCAAAGAACAGGATGTGTTACCCTGCCTTGCAGTGTAGCGATTTAGCAGTTTACCCTGCGACTAATTAGCATTTGCTCTATTGGCACACAGATACTTTGCACCTGTTTCGCAAAAATCCTATAAATTTCAGATGAGAAAATAATACCATCTTTGCATGGGGAGGCTGTCATAATGAGTTTGTAAAGCCAGGAGATGTGGCTAATATTGTCTTTGTTTCTTGTAGTTCCAGAGTCCCTTACTGACACTGACTGACCTCTTGGATATATGCTTGGATATTTGCAAAGGTTGTGTCTATTTAGAGAAAATGCGTTTCATACACAGGTACAGAATTTATTTCCTTCACCTTTCAAGCTTTACCCACAGTACCAAGACTAACTATCTTATCTGGGACAAAATGCCTGGGAAATATGTCACAGTATAACAGGAAGGGTAAGAGAACTGGATTAAAACATGACGTTATGCTTTTCTGTTAAAATTAATTACAATTTTCTCAAAAAATAATGGGCTGCTCTAAGATTTTATACCAGGGAAGCAAGGGAAACTAGAATACATTGTTCACAATTAGTAGGATCGATCACTGGAACAGGTTGCCCAAGGAAGCTGTGGCATCACCAGCCTTGGAGATATGCAAGATTTAACTAGATGAGACCGCTAGCCACCTGATCTAACCTGATGAGTGACACTGTTCTGTACAGAGGGTTGAACCATCTGACCTCTGGAGATCTCTTCTGACCTGAGTCGCTCTGCAAAGCTGACTCCATCCTCTTGTTTCCATAAAATTCAGGGACCTGGCTGCTCGCAACTGCCTTGTGTCTGAGAAGCGATACGGGAGCTGCTCCCGAGTGGTAAAGATTGGCGATTTTGGACTTGCCAGAGATATCTATAAAAATGATTACTACAGGAAAAGAGGAGAAGGCCTGCTCCCTGTCAGATGGATGGCTCCTGAAAGTCTCATCGATGGCGTGTTTACAAATCGCTCTGATGTTTGGTGAGCGGGCACACAGCATTGTGAAAAGAATAGTAAATCCCACAGCAAGGAAATATTGATTTACAGCAGCAATGATAAGCTTGAATATTTCCATCTCTAATAATTCACAAGCTAAGGTAGATTTCTTCCTATGTGGTGTTTTCATGAACTGGTAAAAAAAACTTGGCACAACAACTGTATCTGCTTGTAAGTATTTCTTTACTTAATGCTCTGGGCTCTAGCCCTGGGATCCTGGATGGGAAAAACTAGTGTTGCTCAATGAAACAGTTTTGTACAAGGCCCAATTTTTTTATTTTTATTTTTCCTGTTTGAGCGGTGAATTGACTGCCTATATTCTGTTTTTTCCATTTTGTTTTCCATTAGGTTAATTGACATTTCCTTCCTACAAACAAATACTTTCCCCTTACCATTTCACCCTGTAGCGGTGACCTCATTATTTTGAAGCCCAAATTTCTCAGCATCACTACAGGAAAGTCATAGTACTTTGCTGCAGAGATTTACTTGCAAGGTATATTTGGGCAGACTTGGGTTTATTATGAAGAAGCAGAGACTCTGTCAGGAGTCCTGGAAAAAAGGAAACCAATTCTGTTCCGCTAAACTTGAGATTCACACAGTTTTAGATTGGATAGCTATGGGTGATAACTGGTGGGCTATAGCTCACCAGTCTTGGTCAAGTCTTCAGGCCCTACAGCCTATCCATTTAACTGCCACTCTTACCTTTATCTAAAAAGTCCACTTAGTTCTCTGTGCCAAATCCAATGAGGTGCTGATTGCTTTATGAGTGGTACTTAGGAGAACTTGTAACTCTCTCCATTTCCAGTGACACCTCCAGCGATTTCTAAATGCTTGTTTAAGTGAAGACATACTAAAATGGAGAGTGGTGCCTAGGGACTATGTACTGCATCTCACCATGTCTGGGAAAGTTGTTAGTCCTACATATTTATTTTAGCAATTCTAGAGCCAGGATTAAGGATGTGTTCAGTGTTTTACACAAAGTTAAAACAACTTACTCCTAATTTTTTTGAGTCTTGTTCTTATACTGGAGCCATTTTAATTAACTGACGATAGGGAGATTGCTCATCATCATCATGGTAATCAAAATTTATTGTTGGTGTTTCTTAGGGCTTATGGAGTCTTAGTGTGGGAAACATTAACTTTGGGTCAACAGCCATATCCAGGTCTCTCCAATATAGAAGTTTTACACCATGTACGATCAGGAGGAAGGCTGGAATCTCCGAACAACTGTCCTGATGACATGTAAGTTAATTTTGTTTATGTATCGTTGATAATTATAAGACAGCAATAGCTTTATTGCCAGATGACTATCATTTTGAATGGCTACTCACACTTGTAGCTGCCCACTTGCTCCTAACTCATCCAGTAGTGTAGCCTGTGAGCATGAACTTCAGTGAGAACTGAAAATGAAGTCCTAAAGTTTAATGGCTGATACATAGCTGTCTTTTAAACAGGACTTTAGAGATAATATGAATTAAGCCTTAGGCATGAATCCAGTAGTAATAACAGGCTGGGAATGCCTGATCAACCAGTTTAGAATTGGTTAGAAGTTATTACGACTATAATGAAGAGTTAACTTGGTCCTATATACCATATGCCATTGATAGTAGACATAACAGGCTTTCTCATTGATAGCATACTGTCTTAGTAGACCTCTCTGTAAAAAAGCCAACAAGAGAAGTTGAAGCAGAGCAAAATAAAGAAGTCTGCACTTCTGGTTAGACTTCAACTGAGCTGGATAAACAAAGGTCTCAATTCCAAACTGTATCTTGAGTACAAAATTCAGCTGTAATTAAAAAAAAAAAAAAAAAAAAAGTGAATGCATATAATATATCCAACCCATACCAAACAGAGGTGTATGAATGAGGAAATTGAATCTGAACCCAATGATCACTCAGTATAACCTAATTTCATGTCTCAAATCCTGTACAACCATTCTGCATAAGCAGTCACAGAAATGTGTTTGACAGCTGGTCCTACAAATGGAAGAAGAGGGTACTTAAGGTACAGAATTCTTACTCCTGGGGCTGAGGAAATGGTTTGAAACTGATCCTGTGATTGGCAAGCCTGGATCTCCATAATAGGTCCCACATCAATTACAATGCTCTTAGTTCCAAATGGTGATTACTTATCATTATCTGGATATAGCTGAAATATTGCATTAACAATTAAAAGAAAAGAGGGGGAAGGGGAGGGAGGGGGAAGAAAAAAATATCATTTGGAGGAACTGAAGACATTAGAATTTTATTTTAAGAACATGGTGCAAACTGGAAGTGAACTGACAGTACGAATGGAGCCCAACAGCAACTTCAGTTTTAATATTTTCTGCTGAAAAATGTTTCTTTAAAAAATTCCTGGCAGCTGACCCACGAATAAAAAAGCATAGGAGGTGAAGTATACCCATATAATAGTTCAATGTTCAAGCTCACACAAAGGTTTATAAGCTGCCTTTAAAGTGAACGACAAGATCTTCAGAAGAATCAAGAAAAAGTTGACCTAAGTATTTTTTTTTAAAGTCCTAGCACTCACAAATTAGCATATCAGGTAGAGCTTAAACACTCATCCGCAGGCTGTGACTTGTAGCACCAGGACCTAACAGCAGCAGCCCGGTTTTTGAAAGCCAAGGGGCTGAATGAGCTCTTAGATTCCTGTATCGTCTTTTTATCTCATTTGGTGAACGCTCAGCACCTGCGTGCAGCTTCTGTCAGTAGCCTAAATAGCTTTTTTGCTACTTTGTTCGGTCATTAATGGTATACTGAGATTCTTGACATTCCTGCTGCTCTCCGTGTGGTTTTGAACCTGCATCGGGACATCAGCAGTCGGTGATTGTCTTCCCGATACTTTGGCTTTCTCATTGTCATTTGACAAAACAAACCATCGTTGATAGGAAGAGAGTTCAAAGGCCAAATTACTTCAGCTGAGAAGTGTTTAGGAATCTGTGGTAGGCTTGCACTGCAAGGGCAAGGAGAGCTGACACAGAAACCTTGGGTGTGAAAACATTAGGAAGTGGGATTATTTTCATTATTTTTAGGGGCAGGGGAAGAGAAGTTCTGCCTCTGGCCTCCTTAAGATATTGTTGCAGGAGGTAATCATCTGCTTTCCTCAAGAGAAGTGCAGATACATAAAACTTGGTAATGAACTGAAAAAGAGACTTGGGGATCTGTAGATGAGCTGTGTTTATGAAAATATGAATCAGATGTATGAATGACACCAGTTGTGCAGTCTGAGACCCACATCTGGAACAGCCACCAGGGTGTTAGTTTTGCATGCAAGTGCATGCCAAGGTTCAGGCAGAACATCTTTTAATGTCTTTTCAACAGTGAATATTCCCACTCAGTTACAAAACTGAATGGTTTTGTGAAGCAAATGGTCCATTAAAAAGTAGTTGTTTCAAAAGACTGTTTTAGGAATGCAAAAATATTCTGAATCTGTGTTTGTCAAGTTCTTGTTTCATAAGTGACTTTGTTATTTCTTGTTTCTTTCTCCCTCTGTTGGTTTCTGGCTGTCTATTTCTCCTTTCTGTCACAACAGCAGTGCATTCATTAAGCTCTGCACACCTCTGTGCACAAGGCTCTGCCCATCAGAGCCCAGATACTAACCTGCAGTTCAGGTCCTCTTCTTGAACATCCTACAAATCAGCATGACCAGAAAGTAGGTGGTTTGGTTTCCAGCATCCAAGCCTGGCTTTTGAATTGAATGTGACAGATACTTTGTTGCCAACAGAAGGAAAACCAGAGTTATTTCTCTTCATTTTGAGTCCAATTCAGTACTTTTCTGTCTGTATTTTTTGTGCCATCAATAAACAGTACACCTGAAAGTAAGTAGAGAGAGGAAGTGATTCAGTGTCTGGAAGTTACTATCACTTTCTAGATCCTTAAGATTTCATTGAATTCTTTTGGTATCACACCAACAGATCTGCAACTGTGTGATACAGGCTGGTGAAAAGTGGTTCTGAAAAAAAATGCACTGATGTTTTTCACCCAAACACAATATTGTAATGAAAAATATCATGGAAAAATCAGAAGTAGAGAGATGTCTCTCAGTTGTCATCAGGAGTTGCGGTAAAGGACAGCAGCCTCCTTTTTAACCTGGAACCTCTGAGCAAGCCAATTCATTTCACATAACTCAGATCTCACAGCAAGGCTGTTTGTCAGGAGAGGATTTGAACTTATGGCTTAAAGGTGAATACTCTGCATTCCTGTAAGAGCTTCCTGAATTGTCCTTTCACTGACTGCTCAAATGCTGCGCTCTGATTTTGAGGCCCTAAGACCCCTCTCCCAACATTTAGCGTATCCAGGTGTTGACTGCAGTTTGGTTTTCAGCCCTGCTCCCCCTGGCTTTTGTAAGATTTGTTTTTGTGTGTCTGGGACTTGCCACAATTCATGCCCTCGAGTAGGCAGTGTAAATCAGCCCTATCCTTTAGACAAACAGGAAAGGCAGTTTTTCCACTGAATGATACCAATAGGTTTGTACAGGGCGGGCTAGGGTCCCTGCACCCAGGGGAAACTGATACCATTTTTGCCTTTGATGGGAAAATGTACTCCTATTTGTTTTGGTCTGGGAGCAGAAGTCTAAATTAACCATCTCTGTCCCAAAGAGTTTGCTTTGAACATCTTTGAAGCTGAAGTGGCATGAACTGAAGGAGAATAAAATAAGCTAATAGCTTCAAGTTCATTTTTTTTGTTTTAGTGAAATTTTTCAGATAATTAATCAGATAATTATTTTCTTGTCTGCTTCCTCAGAAAATATTGTCCACTTTTTAGGAGAGAGAGTTGTGAGAGTTGTGAGCAGGTATTGGTAGGGTTTGGGGGACTTTTTTTTTTTTTTTTTTTGGTCTTACAATGTTATAGCTGCTCCCAATCTCAAAGAATATATCCATCTTTGGCAAAACCGAAAGCATTCATGGTGAGTATTCCTGACAACCGACCCATAATCTGTTTTTCTTCCCTCAGCAGCTGGTGGTAATCTTTGCACCAAATATGAACGCTTCAGAAGTTGAAAATCTACACTGAACTTGTTTGTCAGATGGTTAAATGGTAAGATGGATGATTCTATTATCTTTAATACTTACCTTTTAACAATTCTTTTTTCCAGACGTGATTTAATGACACGATGCTGGGCCCAAGATCCTCACGACAGACCAACTTTCTTTTATATTCAGCACAAACTGCAGGAGATAAGGCACTCTCCACTGTGCTTCAGCTACTTCCTTGAAGACAAAGAGTCGGTGGCTGGATTCATCAACAAAGCTTTTGAGGGTAAGCCTGGGCAGCACTGTCACTACACCTTCTGCCCAAAGCTGCAACAGTGTAAATATAGAATCACAGAATGCTTGGGTTGGAAGAGACCTTAAAGCCCACTCAGTTCCAGTTCCTGCCATGAGCAGGGCTGCCACCCCAGATCAGACTGCCTAGGGCCAATCCAACCTGGCCTTGAACACCTCCAGGGATGGATGGGGTATCCACAGCTTTTCTGGGCAGCATGTGCCAAATAATTTTTCTCTGAGCAAATAATTTTTCCCCTAACATCTAACCTAAATTTCTCCTCTTTTAGTTTAAAGCCATTCCCCCTTGTCCTAACACTATCTGCTCATGTAAAAAGTTGATCTGTCATCTGCTTATAAGCTCCCCTCAAGTACTGGAAAGTCACAACTTTCATCTCTCTTTGTAAACTCGTGAGGATGTATTAGGCATCACATAAAATTACCAAGCAAAAAACCTATGAGATTGAGACTGAGCAAGCATTGCAAAACACATCCAATTCAGACCTAATTTCAATCTCCCCATTTGCTAAAGGTGGCACTTTGGCATTTACTTTAGGAGTACTGGTTCAGTGGTTGCCTGAAACAGAACATAAATTAGGTACCTAAGTAAGGCAGACTTTATCTTTGCCAGTGATACATCCAGCCAGGAATCACAGCATGCCTGTGCTTTGCATACTGTGTGTGAGTAAAATGAGGTGATGTTAGAGAAGACATACTCAAGACAATGGATACAACAAAGCCCAATTGCAAATGAATACTGTTAAAATTTTGTAGACAGAAATCTGAAAAGTCAAATCTGATGTCAAATCTGAGCAAGCGTGACTCAGAGCACCTAAACATGGAAATGAACATCCTGACTGAGCCAGAACAAGATTTTCCAATCCTGCAGTAATTTCCAAATGGCTAAATCTAGGAAAAAAGTGGAATTTAAGTAAATGGTGTGATTTGAAAGTCTTCAAAAAGAAGGTTTTTATCTCTTAAAATATCTCACTTTTATTTCACAGTTACTTTTAATTTAACTTGTTTCCTTATTTTGCTTTTCTAGTGGGGGGAAAAAAAAACAAACAAACCCAAATTCTGCTAAAAGAAGTGCTTCCCAATCCAAAAAAAGCAAAGACTAGTAATTGCAAAAATTTCTAGAAGTTTTTTTTCCCACAAAAATTTTTGAACTGGAAACTCACTCTGTCTCATAAACAGTTTTAATACATCAGTATTTTGTGATTTTCCCCACCCTCAAACAAATTGTGATCAATTCCAGGAATGATGCAGCATTCACTTATGCAATTACATAGCCATTTTTCAACAAATTTTATCTACGTTCAATTGACTGACATTGTTGAATTCTCAATTAATGATAGTCTATTCAATATTTTGCTAGTCTTTGTCATTCAATGATGTTTTACAAATGTCAACCTCCCCTTCCCCATCATAATTTCTCTCTGTATCAAATCCACTCGGTATGACATGTTCATACGTCTTTACAAGGCCAAAGATTATATTGCTGATGCACTGGGACCAAAGTAAGCTAGCACTGATAACTTGTCATTTCCTGTTTTTTTAACCAGCTGATTTTGCATCCTTAACCAATAAAGAAATGCTTAGTGCATATGCATGTAATATAATTTGCTAATTTCTTTAAGGACATCTTTGCTTTGAATAGTGGTGCTCGGGAAAAAAGATATTTAATCTGGCACAAATCTAAGCCTGGAATTAGCTCAGGAAATGATTACAGCCAATTAATTAGGCACCTTGCCCAAGATAATAGGCCTTATATTTTGTATGGATTTTATCTCACCTAAACAAAGCTGTCTAGAAGATAGAAATCTCATCTCAAATACTCTACTAGGTATCTCTGTGGCCAGGATTTTAGGCATGCTTCAGTTCTCAAAATTCCTCCTTGGCTTCTCCTCAGGCCTTCTAATGATTTTCACACTGAGATGCCCATCAGCAAACAGTATAACTTGAAATTAATTCATCTACATACCATTCTTTCATGTAAGTTCTTTTAAATTACTAAACACTTGATAAAATCTTCACATGTCTCTATAACAGACATACTTTCCCCAAAAAACCTCATAGTTGGTCTGTTGGTTATCTTCTTCTTTCCCCAAGAGTCTTTACAAGTCCATTCAAACTGAACACTGCATACTTGACTGAAGACCTAGAGTCTTGGTAATGTTTTAATGTTACCATATTATCTGATCAGGGAACCATGCCTGTAGGGTTTCTGCAGATATCCAGCTTAAACTCATTCAATTATTTCTTTGCCTGAAATGTAAACATTTTGTAATGGAGTTCAGAGTAATTCTGGCTCCAAAAGTGTGGCTGTTTTATGCAAGGACTAGTAATTCATGTGCTAGTCAAACTTCAAGAATAAAATGCACGCTCCTTTGTGATCCTGCCACACAGTTTGGGGCATGAAGTCTCAGCCTGCAATTTATAAAATGCTGCAGAAGTAAGTGATTTTTAAAGTAGCTCGAAGTTTGCATTCATTTTTAGCTAAAACTAAATGGAGCACTTCTTGTGTTTGCAGTAGTAGTAGGAAGATGACAGCCAGAACAAATAATCCAAAATATCATTCCTTGATGGATTGTCCTGGGCAAGGTTTTCCAAAAACGTTACGTAGTCATTGGCCTTTGTGTGTAATGAAACTCCTGTCATTACCCTGCTGCCAAGAAATGCTTGCTCTCACCAGGAGATGTGGTTTCAAAAGAAAGAGCCAAATGTCAAGCAAGGTGTAATAACAGAACTCAAAATAACTATAATATTTAGCTATGGGAAAATACATATTCAAAATTCTGTTAAACCTTACCTGCTTGTAGTTAGCTAGGCCATTAGCAGGTCTGGACATCTGTTAGCATTGTTTAATAGGTAGAAGTGCTGAAAAAATGTTAGACTTTCTTCTCAACATTACTAATGCAGTACGTCAAGCAGATTGCAAGTATGAGTGTACTAATATACAAAGTATGTCAGTGGTCTAGAGAGCACACCAACAGGATAGTGAAGGGATGATAGAAGAGACACCAGCTTTGCTGCTGCAAGAGTTACTCATATAAAGGAGGCAGCAAATAGCAATAAATATGTCCAAGCAACACCAGCAGCTCCTGGCATCGAAGTTTAGAAAGGGAGTAAAGGATTCTCAGCAGAGTCTGACTTTGCTTCCTTGACCAAAGGGTGGCAAGTATGGCCAGCTATAAGCAACCATATTTCTTCCAGCACCAAATGACTAGGCAGCAGCCCATTGGGATGTGCAGATTAGTTCTCAGGCTATGGCAGCAGTGGCCCAAAGCCAATAACCTTTTTACAGAAAAAAATGTCACAGGCAGGAGGACATGAGTTTGTTCCTTTGTGATAGCAGTCTACAGAATAAGTACTGCAGTTAATACATACAAAGCATCAGTTTCTCTAAATATTTTCTGCATATCTGTGGGATCTCTATGGGTATTTCCTTACCTACCTCTCACTCATTTCAACTGAAAGTAGCATTAGTGAGGTTATGTACCTAAAGCTGCTTTAACCTCATTCCTGCTCTATTTCAGCAGATGAGCACAATACCAGCCCCAGAACCCATTGCAAGTGTCTCTATATCAAGAGAATTTAAAGGCTCTTGATATCTACCAGTTGAGCATTTACTCTTCTTGCTCTTACAGGCTTTCCCAGGACATTGACTGTGGGCAGGCAAGAAGTGATAACATTTTGAGTGAGGGAAGATCTTTCCATCTGTGGCACTGAGATATTTGTGGGCTACCTTACTGGTTTTGAATCAAATTGGAATTGTTTCAGGAGCCCCACTCATGGCTGAAATATAGGCCGTTCTTCCCTCCTTTTCAAAAAGTGCAAAAGAAATATCATGAATCAGCATGCTAAAAGCATGGTCCTACACTGCTGTAAAATAGTCCATCTATTCTCAGAAAAACTTTTTACATTTGTGCATTCAAGACAGCGCTATATTTTTCAAGTCCCAAGCATTCCCTTTTATGGGTATGGAAACACCTGTCTGTTTTGGCAAACATCTTTGTCAACATCAGACAACTGGGCATTAAGCAGCTGGAGCTCCTTGCCTTTTTGACACAGGAGGACTATTCTTATCGGTGCTGCTCCCAATAATGCATTCTGGACCTATAAGGAAGAAATGTAGAACTTTGTCAGAGCATAACAACCTTACTGCTGGAAAAGGCTGTCCTGATGAGAGCGGATAGCAGGCTGTTTGAGGGAGCCTGAGGAAATCCATAGTTGAGACAATTGCCACAGTTACTTTGCAATTATTTTGGAGACAGGAGGCAAATTTTGCCATCAAAGCTACCAGCTGACAACATTTATTCTGAGAAAAAAAAAAATCACATTTATAAAGGCTGATAATGTGATTTGAGTTTGGTAAAACTATGCAGATCATAATTGATATATCTTTTTCTTTGAGTATAATAATGTGGGGAGAGTAGTTCTGGCATGACTAGACAAAAAATCCTCAAAAGGTGCTTGCATTTGCCCTCAGTATTTTGTTTTGTTCAAGAGCTGTAAGTGTTTTTGTTTAAAAAAATGGAAACAAGTTCAGCCTTAAAAGATCATGTTTTAATCCCTGAACTAGAGATGCCTCTTGGAAAATGTGGGAAGCTAAAACACTCAGTGTATTTAGTTTTTTTTTTCAGCAATTAAGGCACGTGCTAAAAATGTCACTTTTTTTTTTTCAACTAAGTACAAAACTTTTCATGGAGGGGATTTGGTATTAAAATCTGGGATCAGTGCTCTCATTGTTAATTACATGTCTACTGACTGGATAGTACTGGATTGCTTTGTAAATCACTAGCTTATTTTCCTAAAACTAGCTGTCTTTTAGAAACTATTCTGCACACCTCTCCAGTCTTAAAGTAATCACTTGGACAAACGGAAGCTTCTCTAAAGCAGATGTGTTGATAAGTGACATTTTTTAAACCTTGTATCTAGCTTCCTTTGTATTTTTCTGAAATTCAGTAATCCTCTTCCCCACTTAGTTCAGTGAGTGCCTGACCCAAAGCCAGGAAGGGTCAACAAGAAGGCTTCTTCCAAAACAGTGAATGCTTACAACACTGCAGGAAAAGGCAAACTTGATGGGGTGATCATTTTGTTTGTGTTCCCTAGACAAATGCTTTTTGATTCCAGAGAGTGCACATGAGCTGTATGACATTGCATGGAAAGTAATGCTGAAACTTTGCCTTGCAATGAATGGGAAAAAATGTATTATAATATCAGATCATCCGATTTTATAAAACATTTGTGTTGTATGAGTGTGCAGATATAACCAACTAAAATCTAGGTGCTGTGCTCACTCTGTCTGTCTAGACTCTAGTAACCAGAGAGTTGTACACATGTTCAGGGGACATTACTGTGTAAAGGTCAGTATGAGAAATGAGTATCTCCACAAAAACACATCCTTCTCTCCTCTCTCAATTGACTGTAAAGGGAGCCTGGGAAAATGGCCTAAACTAGATATGTAACATCTGAGTAATTAAAACTTGATAAAATTTATCCTACTTTGTGACCTGGAGAATGGAGGTGCTTCCCTGCTTATATATCAAGACACATTGTATTGAAACAAGTGTGGAGCCGGCAGATTTTGGTGCTCTTTTATTAAGCGTGGTAATGAACTAGTTAATAAGAAAGTTTATATGTGTGTTTCCCAAGACATATGAAATGCCTGTATCTTGTATACAGGCATTTCAGTCCATGAATCTCTAAAAAAAAGCCTATCAAAATGTGGAGGAAAAATAAGCAGTCAGTGCTTCAAGCAGTTTAGTGCAGTAAAAATGCAAGATGGACAAAATCCTTGCTTTTAGCATCTTTAGTGTCTGACAGAATAGCAAGGTTGGTGAGTCACTCTCAAGCCATGCAAGATCATATGCTTCATTAGACAGGAAACACAGATATATCTCCACTGATACATAATACAGAGCAGAGCATTAAAACGGATATATATTTGTTCTATTTATATTCTTACTGGCAATGTGCAGAAACTGAAACACAGCACCTCCAGCTCCAGGTGGCCAACAGGTATTGGCCAAACACAGGAACACCTCCTGGAGATGATTGACTCGGTTGAGATGAAGCAGTCACCATTAGGCAACCCCCTTTTTCTCCCTTAACAAAGGTACGTCACCAGGCACTTCCTTTGCAGGTGTTCCCATTGCTGGTACCTTTCTGTTATGCCAGCCAGTCTCTTGTTTACTCCCATGCAAACTGTGCAGAAGGGGTGAGGGGCAGAGTACATAAGAGAAAAACCAAGATATAAATGGTAAGAAGTAAATGTGACTGTACTTCTAAACATGTGGTCATTAACCTGTTGAAGGTGCTAAGCATTGTATGCCACTGCATTACCCAGAATTAGTTATGTTTCAGGCTGGATGCTTAGCTGTTGTAAATCACTGATGTCCCACTTGTTTTTATGGAGCTTTGCTAATTTGCGCTAGCTGAGGATCTGGCCTTGAAATAGCTATAACAGAAGATGAAGATCTCCAGATCAGTTTGTTCTGAATCTACCAATCAACTTTTCTATGGACTTTTTTTCCTCTTATATATTGTCACCTTCTGAAATTAAACACTTCAAAACCATCTGCTTATCAAGACATCACAACAATTTGCACCCTTTCAGGCAGGATTTCAAAACATGCTTTGAGCCCGCACAGCTTGCAGTGAGGGCAGGGAAAGGGACCCTGTGCTGGAAAGGCAGGATACACGACCCCGCTCGCATGGCCACTGCCTCCTACAGGAAGCGCCGGGCTGGGATGCTGGGATTTAGAGGGGGAAGCACAGATTTTATCAGGTTGGGACTGGCCTCCTCAGAGGAGCCTAAGCAAGCAAACTCCATCCGTTGTGACTATGAGTCAGGCGATCAGTGTCTTATGTCACTTAATGTGGGGTCCTTGAGACCAAAGTTCTGCCTACCCATAAAGAGATGCATTGTAATTAGTTTACCTGCAGTTTAGCTCAGATGTTGTACTTACAACTACGCTGGGGAAAACATCCCAAGAGGTCGTGCATTTAGGAACTGACACAAGTATCTACACAGCTACAGTGCAGAGCTTTGAACATGGTATTTTAATTATTGGAAGCAGTCTACCTGAGGGAGGATGGAGCATGGTGGGGACCTACTTCTCAGCAGAGTTCTTTTATTGATCACTGTGCTGCCAGAGCCAGCCTACTTCATGCCCTGATGTAGGTTGTTTGGAGTAGATGTGGGTAACTCTATACTGTGCAGCAGTTCACAGTATGGACAAGCCAGCAGGATTTAAGCGTTTGGAGTTGACTTCCCAGCACGACTTCAGATTCTATTAAGGTGTTCCTTGGACGCCTCCTCTCGGTACGTTTGTTGTCTCAGCCAGGCTCTGCTTGTGAAATCTGAGGGGATCACATCACATGGCTCATCCTGCATTTACTCACGTATAACCCAGCATGACTATACATCAATCAACTAATTTTAGCAAAGTTAAAATTGAAAAGAAAAGAGAGATATCTCATGAATATACTGACCTGTCTCCCATCTCCAGCTTTTATCTTTCTTCAAATTCTTGATGTTCTTTGGGAGGGGCTTCCTAACTTTATTCAAACTTCTCTACATTGTCGTATGGCTTCCCAGGATGTTGGTGGTACCTCTAGGTCCCATATTTCACAAAATGTGGGGAAACTTCATAACAAAAAATGATTTTTTCTTAACTGTTAATTCTCAGTATCTTCTGTCTCTCATATAACTTCTGCCTCTCTTCTGTCTGTCACATAACTCAGTGAGCAAAAACTATTTGCTTGTCTGCTGACTTACTTGAGAGGCAAGCATTGTACTGCATAACCTGACATCTTCGCACAGAGTTTTTGGCTTGTACAGCAGAATGGTGCTAAGCTTTCACGGGCACGGAACACCATGCTAAGAGAAGACAACACAATGGTAAAGGAAAGGACTCTTGTAGTCAAAAATCTCATTATGGCAATGGCTATGCAGCTTATGTGTGTGTCATGCTATAGAAGAAAGGATATCAAAATTATCTTCTTCCTCTTTCTTTTCACGGGGTATGAGCATTCCACATACACACACACAAAAAAGTACTTTTTGCTTGTTTTGTCTCAAAAGCTCAAAAAGTAAAACAAAGCTAAGCTGTTGATTTTTAGCTCTTTTTCTCTGCAGTGAGAAATACACTGGTATATGGGTTAAAAAAGGATTATAATATTTTATATATTCTGTAGATCTCCAGACCTGTTGGGGAAAGAATTAGTAATGTATCTATATATCTGGTAAAAATATCTCGGTGACCTCATACTCACATTTGTGTAAACATCACCTCATCAGTTCCAGATACTTATACAGGAAACAAATCTGAATGCTCCTCCAGTGTTCTATACTTAGGCAGGTCAGCCGGCATATGTCTGGTCTGTAAATACCGAGTTTTACTTGGGTCCTTATTTTAAGGTTTCTCTCTTAAGAGTTTGCTGCAAACATGCTCTCAGCATTTGCCAGCTTGCCTTTTCCAAGGCAACTTGTGCCTGAGGGTTTCCATTAAAATATTTATTAAACAAAAACCACATACACAGAAGAGCTGTACTGGTTGGTGAGCACTTGGTTGAGATTGAATTACTAAATATTGCCATAATAGTCCCGAAGTGACAAAGTGAGTATCAAATGATTTTTTTGTGGCTCTCAGTCAGTATGGTATATGAAGGCAGTTCGTGCTGTCCCAGTCTCCACTCTGCTAACAGGTTTCTAAATTCAAATATCTTGTTCATGCTTTTTCCTCATAATATTTTCTAGTGGTCTCTAGTATGTGGAGAACACTTTCGAGTTTGCAGTTGATGTCTGTGTGTCATTATAGTGACATAATAAATTGTTTGTTGTCCCACTGCAACGGCACAACAACTGTGATTCTCATGAGTCGATAGCTGTGAATGTCACGTTTCATTTTCCAGTTGTGAAGTAAAATAAGGGGGGAGCATAATTAAAAAAAAAAAAATGTTCTTAGGAATAAATGCACAGAATAGCAACAATTATAGCATGAGCTTTTAGTTAATCATTTGAAAAAAAGTTATAGTACCTGCAATAGATTTCAGACAATGATGTACATGCGAACAGCATCAGATTAAAAAAAAAAAAAGTAAAAATGTAAAGCTTTTAGTAATGGATAAAAGACATTGTACTTCTGAGTTCATGTTTCCTGGAAGACAGAATATTACAGTTCTTCTAGAGAGGGAGTATATTACAATTTAGTAGGCAGAAAACTGACCATGTTACAGGACTCTATTACTGTATTACTAGCAGGGTTACAAAAAGGTACAGATTAAAACCATGTTAGCTTTATGCAGGCTATCTTTCCTACCAAAAGAGTTCATGTATTCATAAATGTATTGCCATCTGCAAAAGTATTAATGGTGATGACCAAACATCCTTAAGTGATTTGGTGGAAGGTATAATCTATGCAAGCAATAGCAGAAAATAGGTTTGACTCATCAGTCACCCTTCACTCAGTCACTAGGCAGACTTTCTTTACCAGCTGATTTTGTGCTTTTTCTAATACTACTTGTATATCATGAGGTTGTTACCTTTTTTTTTTTTTTTTAATGCAGATATTGATGTTCCACCTGCAGATTCAGACAGCATTCTTTCAACCACTCTAATGGAAGCAAGGGATCAAGAAGGCCTAAATTATTTGGTAGTAGTCAAAGAAAGCAACCAAGATCAAAGTAGCATCAGCTCTGCAGAATTTACTTCTGTCTAATTCCATCTGTCTAATGCTCCACTTGAGGACGGAAGAGAGAACTCTACCAAAGAAGATGTAAGACAGAGAAAATATTATGCACTTTATTATACATTTAAAGATTTCTTAGAAGAAACACTAACACTCTAAAACACCAGAACTTCCAGAGAATGTCAGAAGGTACTGAAGCTTGTGTACAATAAGACAACAGTCACATATTTTTGATTTTCTAAATGCTAAGTTTCAGGCACTTCACAAGAAATAGATTAAGGAAATAAAACTTGCCATCAGACAGAAAATGATTTTACTGTGATCCCCATTAACTTTATGCAGAGACGTAAACCTTGGACACAAGAAATCCTTCCAAAAGAGAAGAATTGGAATGCTGTCTCATAGAAGGGAACCACCTGATCATGAAAAGAAAAACAGTTCAAGTACAGCTTCATTGAGCACTCATGAGATTATAAAAATTGAAAAGCTAACAAATGGTAGTTGTATTTTTCTGATCTACAAATCTGTAGGCAATTGAAGAAAGGTGGTTAGATTGTTCACTGTAGAGATGGTCTATTTTGTCATTTAATTTAAACATACTTGCAATCATCTCAAACTTTAAGTTGTACAGTTATTGATCTGAGAATCTAATGTCCACATTCCTTTTCCCTTTTAATGTTGATTACCTTTCATTTCTTAATTGATTGAATAATGGTAAATGTTTTTCCTTTATGTCATTGGAGATCAAATCAAAATATATAATAAAACAATATATAAATAATTCCTGAGTAAATGGAAGCAATAAGCTCTTTAGAATGTTTCATCATGAATAGGAATTTGTAAATTTTGCAGAGATATTCACTGGCATCTGTCAGGAAGCCAGAATCGTGTCCTGCTTTTATGCAAACTCTTGATAGTGGGGAACGCTGGAGAGTAGTAAAAATGCATTGTTTAATGCTAAAATGTAGATATTTTTAAGGAACATTGCCATTGAAGTCAAGCTCCAAAAGTTTCTTAAATGGAGATCCAATACAGATAAACAAGATGTTTGGCATTTGACTATTTGAAAGTCTGGCTTCAAATTTAATAAAAACTGAGGTATTTTGGACTTAATATTCTTTAAAAATCATTGGCCAAAAAAAAAAACAAAAAACAAAAAACCAAAACCAAAAAACAACCAAACCAAACCAAACAACTGATTCAAATTGGCTGTAACCACGTCATTTTTTCCTTTTACACTTTAGCCACACTTGTACATGTACAAGCCACAGTTGCCAATACTAACAGTTGAATTCTTCTATCTTTTCTTCTCTTAACCTACATTCACCAGGCCATCAGTGATGGATAAATAAATACTGTATAATGTTTCCTCCCTGTTCAATTTCTGTTTGTTTAATTGTACAGCTATTCCTTCCATTTCAGTAACTTATACATGAGTAACATTTACTAACAAGTAACACGTTCTAACAGGAAACCAGGAGGACCTCTGTTCTGTGGTCACAGTACCAGGATGACTTCACATGCACATGCAATTTCACTTAACTCAAGAAGACTGCTCAGTCAGCAAGCTGCAAACAAAAGTTTGAGAATGAACATGACTTCATACGGTATCTTTTTCACATGATATTCAGATATTAGCAGGAGAAGTCTTCAATCCTGCCAAGAAGCTTATCTAGGCAGCAATGTCCACATCAATTTAATCTTGTATTGGTCTGAGTTGGAAATTGATAATGCAAAAGCCTATCCAACATGAGTAAATTGAGTTAATGTGGAAGGTGAGTAATAGTGACAACAGCGGTAATAACTTTGACACCTCGAACCAGTCAAAAATACCCAAAGATACAAGCAGAACAGACAGGAAGGTAAGTGTTACTTTGTTCACATTTTGGAAAACCAGTTTTGATGGAGGGTTTATTAGAGCAGGATGAAGAACAAAGTGTTGACTTAAATGCGTTGCCAACAAACAAAATTCAGAATATTGTCCACTATTGCACCAAACAGTATGAAAAATTGATTGAATAAGACACAAGTCTCTAAGTACATATCTAAGAATCCTTGTGTATAACTTGCAGGAGTCAGTGGAAGACACATTATTTAACCTTTCCCACGCATACAGTGTGGTCTCAAGCATGCTTGATGATGCCATTTTTTCAGCTCTGAATCTGACCTTGCCCACCATTGCTTTCTCCCACTTCCTTATCTTCCTGTCTTAGAGAAGTACAAAGACTGTACTGACTGGGAGTTCAAAGTTAGCATACCTGAGTCCACTTGTAACAGTAGTTGCAAAAAGCTTCTTAATCTTTCACACTTCCACACTTTTCTCTACACATCAGCATTTCACATTCTTTATCCCATGAAATTACACCTCAACTCTTCATAATTATTCTCATTTTACTCATCAGTTTTCCTTAGACTCTGAAGGACACCTCTCACTTTCAAGCAGCCAGTGTCTGATAATGCCTCTCATAGATACCTTTGGAGACAGTAGGAGAGATGAACAGCCATGAAAGACTCTTAACACACTCCATCTTAAGAAAGGAAAACGGCATCACCTGGCCTGTGCTAATCTCTCTCCTTTGCTGATTCCACCTCTGGCAGACAAAGTGATTCAAGAAAGTTTGAATTTAAGAGTCTTGACTTTCAAGTCTTTATTTTTTAAGTTAATGCAGATGGGTTTAAGGATAAAAATATCTTTTTAAGGAAACATATTTAGCAGAGAAAAAAAATCCTAATGTATCAGAAAGATTTATGAGATACAAATGAAGCAGTTGTTATTACTACAGTTGTGTGACATTCTGAGAGACTCATCCTCAAGTGCACAACCAATATTGTGTATCTTTACCTTCTTTATTCAAGGCATACATTGATAACAAGTATGGGGTGTGGTATCCAGTGTAGGCCTGGGGCCCGCAGCACAGGAAGGACATGGAGATCTCGCAGTGGGTCCAGAGGAGGGCCACTAAGATGATCAGAGGGCTGGAGCACCTCTTCTATGAGGAAAGGTTGAGGGAACTGGGCTTGTTTAGCTTGAAGAAGAGAAGGCTCCAGGGAGACCTCATTGTGGCCTTCCAGAACTTGAAGGGAGCATATAAACAGGAGGGGGAATGGCTATTTATATAACTGAATAGTGATAGAACAAGGGGGAGTGGTTTTAAACTGAGATGGGAGATTTAGGTTAGATACTAGGAGGATGTTTTTCACTCAGAGAGTGGTGATACACTGGAACAGGTTGCCCAAAGAGGTTGTGGATGCCCCATCCCTGGAGGCATTCAAGGCCAGACTGAATGTGGCTCTGGGCAGCCTTGTCTAGTGGTTGGCAGCTCTGCACACAGCAGGGGGGTTAAAACTAGATGATTATTATGATCCTTTTCAACCCAGGCCATTCTATGATTCTATGAATCCCCTTGTAAGCCAGAAGAAGCTACCTAAGTAAGAGAAGAAGTCAGTCCTGTGAAGATCATTTTCTGCAAGATCTGGAGGAAACGAGAAGTGTTTTTTGCAATTTGAATTGAAAATGCATGGAGATTCTAGCTGGCAATTCTGACAGCTTCTTAAGAAAAGCATAGTTCTCAGGCTAGTATAAAAGCAGATGGGCTCAGTTTTCACCCACTATACATCAGTTTAAATATGTTAAGATAAGATGATGTACATCAGTGAGGAAACTGTCTCAATCTTCATCTTCTCAAGATTTGCTGTGACTTTGGCAAATACCACTTTAGTTGTTATAATTAAAAATCTATTTGTTTCAATGCAGTATATAGTCTTGCCTCAGCATCACCAACCTTCTGGAAAGTATTACCTGAATGGTCTTGAAAAGTACCTGCTCAGATAAGAACTGGAAATAAAAGGGAGTGGGAAAAACTGCTATTTAATACTGAAATCAAGTAGTGTTTGCACCCATCAGAGTTAGAAATGTTCATGCTAACAGCTCTGATTACTTGCATGTGAAGCAGTGCAAAAGTAACAACCTAAGAAACTGAGAAGTAAAGATCCAAGAAGGGGTTCTATCAAAACTCAAAATCAAGAGATGTTTTATGTTGCCATTGCAATTCTAGAAAAGAACGTGGCAGAATAGATGCTGTCCATTAAAAAAAAAAAAGCTTTCTCTCCATTAAAAAACAGATCTGGCACATGCTTTTTTTCTGCCACCCCCTATATCAGGTTTGTGTTTATTGAAATTTTGCAGAGTATTAAATACTCCTTCTTCCTTCACTGTTCACGTGGCAGCATCATGTTTTTGAGTGGTTGCACAGTTCTCAGCTTTCCTGCTCTGTGAGGATCCAGGCTACTTTCTCTGCAGTACATATTTCTTCTGGCACACAGCATTTTGCAGGTAGGGGGCATTTTTTAAAGGGTTCTTTGCACATTTCCTTCATTACTCTAAAGTGACAGTGGAGGGCTTGGTGATGCAAATTCTTATCTAGTGTAGAGCCTTTCTCACCCACTGTATGGCTCACCACATCTCACATATGACTGCTGGTTCTGAAGAACTATTTGGACTCTGGAGAAGCAAGGTCTGGGCAAATGCCACCCTTTGCAGGGGATTATCTCATGGATCACACAAAGAGTCCAGAAAATTAGTTTGGTTTAGACTACCTTGTTCTTATAGAGAGGAAAGAAGAGAATGGTTTCTCCCTCTCCTCCTGTTTCTTGGTACTGCAACTCTGAAGAGCTCTGTCACTCCCACACTCACCCACAGGCAGTGACCGTTCCCCACACTGAGGGCTTCTAACCTAGCAAGTTATTTCTCCTACAGGATCTCTTCAGTCCTTTTGGCCACCCTCACATTTTTACCCAGACTGTTCTCAGTTCTACAAGCTCCTTTCTGAGAGCAGGAGATTAGAAACTCAGAGTATTCAAGGCTCATAAGAGAATTTTCTGTTCTCTATTATTTTCCTAGTCATTCCTGCTATTTTATTTGTTCGTTTGTTTCTTTGTGTACTCTAAGTACTGAGATGATATTTTTATGGGATTATCTTTCACAGTCCACATATGCTGCATCTAAGCAATAATGGCCACCTTGGAGTCCA